AGCATTCTGAACCCCACCTACAATAGAATTGAGTAAAACTTCCCACACAGAGCCCCCCCCCCCCATGACCAACAGAAAATATTGTGTTTTCTGATGGTCTTTGGCGACCCCTCCAGGGGTCCCGACCCCCAGGTTGAGAAGCACTGATGTAATCATTACTGTATTTACATCGCCATGTATTGAAACAGCTGTGCATCCGGTTGGGAGGCAGACTACGTTGGATAACTCAGAACGCTGGATGAGCAAAGGTTGGATAAGCGAGACTCGACTGTAGTTTTGCAACTGGATGGCACTGAACATTGTCCTGCCATGAGACACAGGTTGAGCCTCCCTTCCCCAAAATTCTTGGGACCAGAAGGTTTTTGGATGTTGGAATCGTTACATATAACCTTACCGTATGTATCTTTCATTTTTACCCCGCCTTTCTCACCTGAAGGGACTCAAGGCGGCTTACAATTCTGGCAAAAATTCCATGCTGGTAAAAACCAGTACGAACAATAAAAAGTAAATAGTTAAAAACGATTAACATCAAGCATTAATAAACATACATCAGTATACAAAAGTTAAAAAGCATATAAAGTGCATAGTCCAATTCATCCAAAACCCGGCTCATAATCCTTAATCCAGACCGTGTCAAAGCCACTTATTCTTAGAACGCTTGTGCACAGAGCCAAACCTTCACCTTTTTTTACTAAAACATAGAAGGGATGGGGACTAAATTTCTCTAAATTCCAAAATGGATTTATTGGTCACATTTCATAATTTTCCATTTAGGATGACCTGGGTTATCCTCCCCCCCCCCCTTTAATTAGGATGATGATGGTGAGTTTCCTCCCAATGGAGTGGGCAGTCCGGGCCCAAGAGAGATCTCAGGAATGAACTCCCATTTCCTTCCTCTTAGCAAATAGAAGCAGAGGGGGGTCTATCACAGATTTATATCCAACCCAATTAAGAAGTCATGAGGAGGGAGGGTGAGTTTCCCATAGCTCCCACCCAAAAGACGGAGGCAGGGAGGGGGATAACCTTCCCATAGAGAGAGAGAGAGAGAGAGAGAGAGAGAGAGAGATTCCAGTTTAATTGTCCAACAGTGATGATGATGATGATAATAATAATAATAATAATAATAATAATAATAATAATACACGCGTGTATATTAAGTGCAAGTGAGCTGTGTTGTTATGTACAAAACACCAATAATAATAATAATAATAATAATAATAATAATAATAATAATAATAATATGCTTCCACTCTGGGTTTTAGTCTGAACCTGAAGGGAGAAGTGAATTGGCTCCAGTTTTCACTCCGAATTGCATTATATGGTCTGTGGACCCGGGATGTCATCTACACTACCATATAGTCCAGTTTCTGAATCCATCTTGAACTGGATTATATAGCAGTGTAGCCATCTATAATCTGGTTCAAAGCCAATGAAGTTGGATTTAGACACTGGATCATACGGCAGTGTAGATTCAGCCTCGTATAATGCAGTTATGAACTGCGTTATATGGGTCTACACTGACCCTCTGATGCAGATTCAATAATGTCCAAATAATAATACTAATAATCATCATCATTACACCCACATAGTGATTTCAACAGACTTGACCTGCCCAGAAAATCAGGAGGCAGAGTGTTTCTGCAAGTAAAACAAATGTTAGAAGAAGAGAAACGTGTACTGGCAGATTATGTGAAAGACAGTCAAGAACCAACATTGATGGAAGTCAATAGCAGAAAATTGCTTAAAGTGCAAAAGTCAAAGAGTGAATACTATAAGAATACAATGCCGAGCAGAAGAGAAAACTGGCAAAAGAAAGCTCTCCATGGACAGTTCCTGGGAAAAATTGAGAGCAAAATTGACGAGAAAAAAGCATGGATGCGGCTCACAAATGGAACTTTGAAAAAGGAGACGGAGGGCCTGATTCTGGCAGCCCAAGAACAAGCCATTCGAACCAATGCCATCAAAGCCAGAATTGAAAAGTCGACAACAGATCCCAAGTATAGACTCTGCAAGGAAGCAGGTGAAACAATGGACCTCATACTCAGCTGCTGCAAGAAGATCGCACAGATGGACTACAAGCAGAGGCAGAATACTGTTGCTCAGATGACCCATTGGAACTTGTGCCACAAATACCATCTACCTCTGACAAAAAACTGGTGGGATCAGAAGCCTGAAAAGTACACAAAATGAACATGTCAAACTGGGTCTTCCAAATTCAGAGTTTTGGAGCACAATATACTCCTGACCTCACGATCATGGAAAGAAAACAAGTATGGATTGTTGATGTTGCAATCCCTGGCAACAGCAGAAATGACAAGAAGCAACTGGAAAAGCGATATGAGGATTTAAAGATCGAACTGCAAATACTGTGGTCAAGATAGTCCCAGTGGTAATTGGCATACTGGGTGCAGTACCTAAAGACCTTGGACTGCACTTAAAAACAATCGGTGCTGACAAAATCACCACCTGTCAACTGCAAAAGGCCACCCTACTTGGATCTGAGTGTATTATTCACCAATACATCACACAGTCCTAGACACTTGGGAAGGGTCTGACGTGTGATCCAGTACAAAAGCCAGCAGAGTGATCTTGTTTGCTGTGTACTAATCTTGTTGTGCATCAAATAATAATATACTCTGGGTTTTTTGCCTGAACTATAAGGGAGCAGTGAATTGGCTCCGGGTTTTCCTCTGAACTTTAAAAAAGAATGTTGAAACTTACCCCAAAAAGTGTTTTGGATTTCAGATTTCTGAATATTTCCCATCTAAGTCATGGGATATTTTGGAGATGGGACCAAAGTTTAACTGCAAAATGTTGTATGTATGTCCTTCGCATAGCCTAAAGGTTGTTTGAAGACCAAGGACATGTGTTGAATGCCACCTAGTGGTTCTCCATGGCTGAGCAGGAGGGATCCCAGGCTTTCCCTATTTACAATATCTGGGGATTATGGGGTCTGCGATCTGGGACATTTAAAGAACAGAGGAAGGCTGGGTTCCTAATGTTTGCCCTGGGGTTCCTTTGCAGATGAGAGAATGTGACCATCCCCAAGGGGAATTGAATTCTAGGCTCCAGAGGACATCAGCCCTCATGTTTGCCTTGTCTGGGGATGATGGAGACTACAATCCAAGGCTTTTAAAGAGATAGAGAAGGCAGAGTTCTTCTGTTTCTGAGAGAGCTTGGGGTGGTGGTAGTGGTGATGTCTCACCTCGTGCCAATAGTGGGGAACCACCAATAATAATAATAATAATTATTATTATTTTGGGTCAGTGTTCACGCGATTGGTGGGGACGAGAGACAGGGCTATGGAACTCCCTTCCTTGTGAGATCAGGTTGGCCCCCTCCCTCCTGTCCTTTAGAAGGATGGTAAAAACTTGGCTGTGGGGCCAAGCTTTCGGGACAGGGCAATGAAGCGACAATGGGAAAGATGACAGGGCCAATTGGATTTGATGCGGATGGCTAGGACAGTTTGGTGGGCAGTGTCCTTTGGTTTTGGAGTTGTAGTTCACCTACATCCAGAGACCACTGTGGACTCAAACAATGATGGGTCTGGACCAAACTCTACACGAATACTCAATATGCCCAAATGTGAACACTGGTGGAGTTTGACATTTTGACATTGACATTTTGGAGTTGTAGTTGCTGGGATTTATAGTTCACCTACAATCACAGAGCATTCTGAACCCCACCAATGATGGAATTGGGCCAAACCTCCCACACAGACCCCCCATGTGGGCCACAGCAACGCGTGGCAGGGGACGGCTAGTAATACTATAAAATAAGAGTCTTCCCTAAGTCCAGAAAGACTGTCCCTAAACACAAGGAGGCACTACTTACCCTTTAAGAGTAAGGGTCTGTTCAAACCACCTCTGAAAATTCCTTGCCTAAGAAAACCCTATAAAAGACTTCGACAAACAAGTCTGTATTTATTTATTTATCCTGTCATCAGCAACCGTACCATTGTATTACATTTCTAACAGAACAAAACAAATAAACAGATAAAAAACACAAATTTTCAAACTTGGTAGTTTATTAAATGTCCTTTGACCAGTATCTGGCCACTTGGAGTGCCTCTGGTGTTGCCGCAAGAAGGTCCTCCATTGTGCATGTGGCAGGGCTCAGGTTGCATTGAAGCAGGTGATCTGTGGTTTGCTCTTCTCTGCACTCGCATGTCGTGGATTCCACTTTGTAGCCCCATTTCTGAAGGTTGGTTCTGCATCTCGTGGTGCCAGAGCGCAGTCTATTCAGTGCCTTCCAAGTCGCTCAGTCTTCTGTGTGCCCAGGGGGGAGTCTCTCATCTGGTATCATCCACAGATTGAGGTGCTGGGTTTGAGCCTGCCACTTCTGGACTCTCGCTTGCTGAGGTCTTCCAGCGAGTGTCTCTGTAGATCTAAGAAAACTATTTCATGATTTAAGTTGTTGACATGCTGGCAGATACCCAAACAAGGGATGAGCTGGAGATGTCGCTGCCTTGGTCCTTTCACTATTGGCTGCTACTTTCCGGCGGATGTCAGGTGGTGCAATACTGGCTAAGCAGTGTAATTTCTCCAGTGGTGTAGGGCGCAGACACCCCGTGATAATGCGGCATGTCTCATTAAGAGCCACATCCACTGTTTTAGTGTGGTGAGATGTGTTCCACACTGGGCATGCATACTCAGCAGCAGAGTAGCACAGCACAAGGGCAGATGTCTTCACTGTATCTGGTTGTGATCCCCAGGTTGTGCCAGTCAGCTTTCGTATGATATTGTTTCTAGCACCCACTTTTTGTTTGATGTTCAGGCAGTGCTTCTTGTAGGTAAGAGCACGGTCCAGAGTGACTCCCAGGTATTTGGATGCGCTGCAATTCTCCAGTGGGATTCCTAACCAAGTCTGTAAAGGCAAGTCTAGAAGAGACCTGACAGCGCATGCGCGCGCATTGCCCGCCACTTAGCATGCCGGGAAACGAAGTCCGCCTTGTCTGTGGAAGCGAGGGGGGGGTAAAAGGAGGAGGAGGACGCCTCGCTGTCGTCACTTCCGGCCAAGCTGCAGGAAGTGGCGGCATCGGGATGGCGCGGGGCTCTTCAGCGGTGATGGCCGAGGCAGCGGCGTCGTCCCGCGAGAAGGCGGTGGAGGAGGCGGTGAACCGCTGGGCCTTGCTCTTCTACTCCCAGCGGGCCGTGCAGGCCTTCCGGGCAGGGAGCAGCCGCGACTTCCGCCAGTTTCGTGACGTCATTTACGGTGCGCCGGGGAGGCACTTTCCGTTAGTTTTGAAACGGCGCGCTTTTCTCCCCAGAATTGATTTGGTTTGGGCCCTCTGTGTATTTTGGACTCCAACTCCCACCATTCCTAACAGCCTCAGGCCCCTTCCCCCCCCCCCCCCCCCAGCCACTGTGCTCTGCATTTTCTGAGCAAGGAACACTCACAGTATGGCTTGCCTGGCCATGTTATTGTTTGTTGCTTGCTTCCCAAAATGTTGTTGTTTGTTTGTCAATGTCTAGAGTAAGTATGAGCAAGCTTGGGCCCTCTGGGTGTTTTGGACTCTAACTCCCACCATTCCTAACAGCCTCAGGCCCCTTCCTTTTCCCCCTCAGCCGCTTAAAATATCTCCTGTGTATACTTTTTATAGATTTAGCCATCATTCATATATATATATATATATTTATATACACACACACTTCTATGTATGCTTTTTATAGATTTAGCCATCATATAAACACACACACATACTTTTTATAGATTTAGCCATCATTCATATACACACACACACACTTCTATGTAGGTTTTTATAGATTTAGCCATCATACACACACACACACACACTTCTATGTATATTTTTTATAGATTTAGCCGTCATTCATATATATATTGTTTTTGTTCATTCGTTCAGTCGTCTCCAACTCTTCGTGACCTTATAGACCAGCCCACGCCAGAGCTCCCTGTCGGCCGTCACCACCCCCAGCTCCTTCAAGGTCAGTCCAGTCACTTCAAGGATGCCATCCATCCATCTTGCCCTTGGTCGGCCCCTCTTCCTTTTGCCTTCCACTTTCCCCAGCATAATTGTCTTCTCTAGGCTTTGCTGTTTCCTCATGATGTGGCCAAAGTACTTCAACTTTGTCTCTAGTATCCTTCCCTCCAATGAGCAGTCGGGCTTTATTTCCTGGAGGATGGACTGGTTGGATCTTCTCGCAGTCCAAGGCACTCTCAGAACTTTCCTCCAACACCACAGTTCAAAAGCATCGATCTTCCTTCGCTCAGCCTTCCCTAAGGTCCAGCTCTCACATCCGTAGGTTACTACAGGGAATACCATGGCTTTGACTAGGCGGATCTTTGTTGCCAGTCTGTCTCTACTCTTCACTATTTTATCGAGACTGGACATTGCTCTCCTCCCAAGAAGTAAGCGTCTTCTGATTTCCTGGCCACAGTCTGCATCTGCAGTAATCTTTGCACCTAGAAATACAAAGTCTGTCACGGCCTCCACATTTTCTCCCACTATTTTCCAATTGTCAATCATTCTTGTTGCCATAATCTTGGTTTTTTTTTTATGTTTAGCTGCAACCCGGCTTTTACACATACACATATCAAAAAAACAGGACTGCCACCTTCACATTAAGTAGAAAAAACTGGTCTTCTCTTGAAATATAAAACACAGTCTTCGTGTGAGTAAATGTCCTGTTCTCTATTCCATATGAGTAGACTCCAGTAGTCACATGAATTGACTCCAACCTACGACCAGTTTTGACTCGCAAGAGCCTTCGTCAGGTGGTTGGGTCTACAAACAACTCATATCATGAATACACACATACAATTGAACAATTTGTTATATCAAGTTTGTAAGAATATATACAGACACTACTTACTCAAATTATCACAAAAAGCTCAACTTTTGAGGTGAGCAATTCACCTAGTGTCTTCTGGAGGGGTGGATCCTAAGGGGACATAGATAGTGGCTAAAGGTAATATTACATTGCAACATGAATTATAAACTATCGAGAAATACAATATCTATGAAACAGAAGTGGATTTTGGTCTCCACAGTGTCAGGGGAACCCATTTTTCTTGCCTATTTTGGACTCCCACCATTCCTAACAGCTTCAGCCCTCTTCCTTTCGCCCCTCAGCCGCTTAAGGCCCTGTCTCTCATCCCCACCAATCGTGCCTGTCACAATGGTGGGACGGAAAGCAGGGCCTCCCCGGAGGATCTCTGTGATGGTTCATAGAGAGAGATGCGTTTGGACAGGTAATTTGGGCCGGGGCCATTTAGGGCTTTATAGGCCAAAGCCAGTACTTTGAATTGTGCTCGTAAGCAAACTGGCAGCCAGTGGAGCTGGTGTAACATGGGAGATGTATGCTCCCTGTAGGCCACCCCAGTTATTAACCTGGCTGCCTCTCGTTGGACTATTTGAAGCTTCCGAGCAGTCTTCAAAGGCAACCCCACATAGAGTGTGTTGCAGTAGTCTATCCTAGATGTAACAAGAGCATGAACCACCGTACAAAACATTAAAACATCATCATGAGTGCCTCCATGTGAAATTGTTATTTCATTACGTTATCAAGTAGTTCCATAATTCCGTTTAGCTATGCCGTATTTGGGAAGGTCTGCTCAAAAAACAAGGTTTTCACCTTTTTTCGAAGTCAGGAGGGAGGGAGCCGATCTTATATCTCTAGGCAGGGCACAGTCGAGGGGCCATCGCTGAGAAGGCCCTGTCTCTCGTCCCCATCAGACGCATCTGCGAGGAAGGTGGTACCGAGAGCAGGACCTCCCCAGAAGATCTTAATGTCCTAGATGGTTTATAAGGAGAGATACGTTTGGATAGGTAAGTTGGACCGAAACCATGTAGAGCTTTATAGGCTAAAGCCAGCATTTTTAATTGTGCCCAGAAGCAAACTGGCAGCCAGTGGAGCTGGCGCAGCACAGGAGTTGTATTCTCCCTGAGCACCACTCCTGTTAGCAATCTGGCTGCCGCTCGTTGGATCATTTGCAGCTTCCGAACAGTCTTCGAAGGCAACCCCACGTAGAGCGCATTGAAGTAGTCTATACGGGAGGTAACCAGAGTGTGGACTACCGAGGCCAACTCAGACTTGTTTTCTGGCTCTTTGTCTAGTATGATCAGCTTATTGCTTGAAAAAGTTATTTTCAATCAACTTTTAACATTAAATCATTTGCTTTTAAATCTACCTTACCATTGCTTTTAGAGTGATGTTTTATGGTTTTTGTGTCTGTTTTCCTTGCCTTTCCTCAGCTGTTTTGGCCAGGCCTTTGGCCTTAGAGCAACGTATTATTCTTCAATTGCGGATTATCCAACTTCTCTCCAGGATCGAAGAAGGTTCGTGGTCCTAAATAAAGCTTTATTAATTATTACTGTTGTTATTATTATATTTATTTTTATCCCTATTTCATCTCCCCAAACAAACCAAAAAAATGCAATTTTATATCTCCCATTTGTCCAGAAGCCCCTTTGTGGAACCATATCCTCACATTGGGAGCATTTAACCACTCTTTCTGTGCTATTGCAAATGGGAAAAACAGTGGATATGGATTTTCTGGAAAAACCCATTTGGCATTTATTTCAACAGCTCTTGCTAAATAGAAACAATGTATTTTTAATGTTTCTATGTTTAATCCTCTTTTAATGTTTAGATGTATGTGTATGTATAGATATGTATGTAACAATTCCCACATCGAATTTTTAGATGCATGTGTATGTTTAGATGTATGTAACAATTCCCACATTGTTATGGTTTTTAGCATTCGTTGCTTTGAGTCTCCTTTGGCAGAGAGAACATGGAGCAAAATACTGGGTCTGCCAATAATAGGTTGGCAGAAGCTGGTGCTAACAGCGGGATCTCACCCTGCTCCCCAGATTCAAACCACTGACCTTTCAGTCAGCAAGTTCAGCAGTTTAACCTGCTTCGCCACCGGAGGCACCATATCATTATCATCATTATTTTATTTCTTACCTGTCTCTTCTTGTGGCTCGAGGTGGGGCACAACATTGCTAAAACATACCATCATTAAACAGTATGCAAAATACATATATTAAATTGTATTTCAATGAAATACATGTATTGAAATAAACAGGACGAAGATTAAAATACAATAAACACAGGATGTGAGTTTAAAATTCTATAGTTGAAATTCACTAGTGTTTCGTTTAAATTGGCAGATGCTCCTTGTGGATAATTTTGATCTTGGTGTTTAATAGATGTTCTACATTCACAGTGTTTTTTTCTGATTTATTTTGATGTGGCAAATTGGATTAAAAGTTGCAAGAGAATGAACTTCTCATACAGTCCTCAACTTATAACAGCCCAAAAGTGAGAAATAAGGGAAGGATAATGACTTTCTGGCCTCATCTTAATGTGTTTTCAGCATGAAGTTGAAGCCAGAGTCTGTCCTTGCTGCTATTGCTTCTGTTTGTGAAGCGGTTATTATATTTTACCAGTGAAACAAGTTCTTCGTTTGTGCTGCAGATTGGACCATCAATATCAGGACTGAGCTGACACCACTGGAATGTGCTCTCCATCTTCTGGAAAAGATGAGGAGTGAGTTCGATGTTGATGTGAACATATTCGAAGAAATTCAGAAAAACGTAAAAGAAGCTGTAAGCATCCCTATTTCCGTCTTGTATAGACACATTTGCCTGGCCCTCTCATTTTTCAGTGAGCGTGAGGACGGTTGTGGTTTGGGAGGCATTGTTTTGCTTTGGAGAAAGAGGTATCTTTCCCCAGAGTCATATTCTTTCCTCAGTGTAAGTCAAAGCCCCAGGATTAGGCCATTTTTGTCTCAGTCCTGTAAATAAGTTAATCGAAATTAACTTGCCTACACAGATTCTAGTGGTTTCCCCTCCATTGTTGATGGGACATTTCTGTGGAAGTAGATGGTGAGGTTGTGTGTGGCATTTTGGGAGAGTGGTCAGTTTTACATGTCATTTTAAATTGTTGTAGTAATAATAATAATAATTTATTTATTTCATATCAAAAGCATTGCATAAATTAGTATAAAACCGATAAAAATAGAAGGAGCGCAGGCAACTAAATATCTTTTGACCAAAAACGGGCAACAGCAATGGCATTGTCTGTAGCCTCCAACAATTCTTCCTCTGTACATGAGGCAGGGCATAGTGAACAAGCATACAGATGCGAAGTTGACTGCTCTGCTCCACAGTCACACAAGGTGTGGGATTCTTTTAGGTAGTGCTATTTTGCCAGGATGTCTTTTGTTCTGCCCACTCCACTTCTGAGTCTGTTTAGGGACTTCCAAGTTGCCCATTCTTGGTTTCCCCCTGGAGGAAGACCCTCTCTCGTGGGGGGCCATCCAGTTGGGGTTTCCTGGTTTAGCTGCCCAGAGGGATCCCTTGCTGTTGTTGGGGGGACGTCAAGAGGAGTAGTAGTTCTCATAAAGCTTTTCCTTGATTTGAGTCTACTGGGAGGAGGCTGGAAGCCATGTAGTGGGTAGCTTTCACAACCTTATTTCTCTCACATTTAGCAGCAACTTCCCATCACACATCAGTTGGGGCAATGCCAGCTAGCTTATAGTTTATCAACAGGTGTAGGTTTAAGACATCCTGTGATTATTCTGCATCTTTCATTCAATGCTACGTTCACCTGCTTTGCATGGGCTGACTTATGCCAAACAGGACAGGCATACTCTGCAGTTGAGCAAGACAAGGCCAGGGCTGATGTTCTTACTAATGTTGGGTCTGCACCCCATGTGCTGCCAATACGTTTCCGCAGGATGTTATTGCGTGCAGCTACTTTGTGCTTGGTGTTCAAGCAGTGTTTCCTATATGCTAGTGTTCGATCTAAGGCGACACTGAGATATTTAGGAGGGAAACAGTGTTCAAGCTCTTGACCTTCCCAGGTGACTTTCAATTTCCTGTTGGCTTCATGGTTGTGTAGGTGGAAAGCACACACTTATGTCTTGGCAGGGTTAGGCTTCCAATGGTTATCTTTGCAGTAGCTGGAGAGATCTTTCAAGGCATTAGCAAGTTGGATTTCAACTGTTTCAAAGTCTTTTGCTTGTGTTGTTAGGCCAAGGTCATCAGCATATATAAAGCTCTTTGTGAGTGGTGGTTGTGGCTGATTGTTAGTAAAGATATTAAACAAGGTTGGTGCAAGAATACTGCCTTGGGGTAAGCCATTCTTTTGCCTCCTCCATCTACTTTTCCTGGCTTGAAACTCCACATAGAAGCTACGGTTTTCTAGAAGAGTCTGGATAGTTTTGGTAAAATCATAGTCTCGGGTAATATGGTAGACTTTCTGCAGCATTTTCCTATGTTTCACCATGTCATAGGCTGCTGTAATACAACAGTCAGCATAGTGATCTTGTTTGTTTGCTGTGTATTAATCGTGTTGTGTATCAAATAATAATTATTATTATTAAATAATAATTATTATAATTATGGTGTGGTAATTAACCACCCTGAGTCCTCACAGGGAGAAAGATGGTATATAAATAATGTTAATGATAATAATGATGTAAGGGAATGTATTCTGGGGCTTGGAGAATGCACAGAAAATCTTCCCTGCTGATTGTCTTCTGTTCTTTCTGTTCCAGGCGGTCATTGCTTGTATCAAGAACAAAGAATACAACCAAGCCAAGAAAATCCTTAAGAAATACATGTCCAAAGATCCCAGCACTCTGGTGAGCAGTAAATGGGTTGGTCCTTGGTTCTGGGATGGAATGAGTGGCAGTATGAGTCCTCCTTGTTGCAGTGCCCAAATTAGATGGATGCAGGGCTTCCCCTCCTTGGCTCTCCTCTCCAGCAGCCCTTTTGCAGCCCTGTCTTGTTACAGAGTTCAGCCGGAGATGCCTCTGCCACAGCTTGTGCTCCAGGCCTTTGTGCTGTCCCTTCAGGGCCCAGTGTGGTTTGCTGTAGATTAATGCTACCACGCTCTGAGTGTTCCTTCCCTCATCCACTCCCTTGAAAGTGCCAAAACCGTTTTTCTTGGTCCAGAAAATGAGAATATTGCTCCAGAACATCATCCGGGAGAAGAACCCCTCCGACCCAGCTATCTTGGACTTCTCCTTCAAGCGCTTCCAGCAGACAGTCCTGATGCTTTTGGAGAACTATATGGATGACTCAGAGCCTTTTCTCTCAACGGTCAGTGCAGGCCTCAGGCACTAGTCAGTTTTTGCTTGTGATTTGTAATTTAATCTGCATTTATCATTGAATTTTAACCTACCTTAGGAGCCTGTGGTGGTGCAATGGGTTAAGCCCTTGTCCTGGCAGGACTGCTGACTGAAAGGTTGGTGGTTTGAATCCAGGGAGTGTGGTGAGCTCCCATCTGTCATCTCCAGCTTCCCATGCGGGGACATGAGAGAAGCTTCCCACAGGATGGTAAAATATCCGGTGTCCCCTGGGCAGTGTCCTTGCAGACGGCCAATTCTCTCACACCAGAAGCTACTTGTAGTTTCTCAAGTTGCTCCTGGCACACAAAAAACCCTCTACCTTTTGACTCTGGATATCTTATATTTTAATAGTGTTTTATCTCTTTGTTTTAATATGTTGTACACCACCTTGAACTGTAAGGAGAGGCACATAACAAAATTATTATTATTATTATTGGGATATGGATGAGATGCTCTTGTGTGTTATGTGGCCACAGTTCCAACTCATCCTCATTATTATTAAAGGTAAAGATTTCCCCTTGACATTAAGTCTAGTCATGTCTGACTCTGGGGGTTGATGCTCATCGCCATTTCTAAACTGAAGAACCAGCTTTGTCTGTAGACGTCTCCAAGTTCATGTGGCCAGCATGATTGTATGGATTGCTGTTACCTTCCCACCGGAGCAGTACCTATTGATCTACTTACATTGGCATGTTTTTGAACTGCTAGGTTGGCAGAAGCTGCAACTAACAGTGGGTGCCCACCCTGCTCCCCGGATTCAAACTGCCGACCTTTTGATCAGCAAGTTCAGCAGCTCAGCAGTTCAACCCGCTTCACCACAGAGGGCTCTATTATTATTACTATTATTTATATCCCAGTTTTTCTCTCTAAAACAACTCAAAATGGCTTACAATAAAAACCAATACAATACAATTTAAAACCTAAACATATGTGAACATTAAGATAGACCTGAATACTAACAGCATTAAAAATAAGCAGTCGCAACCCTTAAAACAGATTAAAAATCTATTCATAGATAAAACCATAGCACCCTGCTGACCTAATCTACTTTACCCCTTGTAACATGATAAATTTTCGAGGCTTCAAAACAGGAGCCTGATCTGGTGGAGGGAGCCAGATGCACAACAAAGCATCTGTCTCAATGCATAGCAGCCCAAATCTCATTTGACTGTATCTAAATACCAAAAGCAGATCACATGGTGAAGCTTTCTGCTGACTCTGTTCCTGGCTTTTCTTTATTCAAAGATGGCTGAAAAGTATTCCTCTGAGCTGGTGGAGCCCCAGATGAATCCCAAAGGTGCCACCAGCGAGGAGATGGAGGTGTCAGAGCCTGTGAAGAAATCAGAGGAGGAGGAAGTGACCCCTACGGCCACAGGACCAGGATCTCAACTCCAAGAAAGACCGCAGGAGGCCTCCATGAAGGACAGCCTTGAGTTTGAAATGCAAGAGCTGCCTGAAGAAGAAGGGCCAGAGAAACTGGAGGGAGACCGCCAGGCAAGCGTCAAGGTTTTGCCGACAGTTGGAGGCAGCCGGAAGGAGGCCACTTTGCGTTGTTTGGGAGACATCCGTGAAAGAAGAGCAGCCTCCGAACCACATGGGAAAAGTTCTAGAGATGGTGCAGAGCCTGCCAGGGTCTCAGACAGGTATGGTGTTTGTGTTGCTGGGTTTGAGTCACGGAGATACCATATTTCTTCAATTCTGAGACACTATGATTTGTAAGACGCACACTAATTTCAGTACCACCAACAGATATAGGTATATGCATGTGCTCTCAATTCTAAGGCGCACCCAGTTTTTAGAGATGTTTATATCGGGAAAAGTGCAACTTCGAGCTGAAGAAATACAGTATTTTCCAAGAGCTGAAGATTTGTTGTGTCAGAAGCCACACAACATGGTAAAATGCACTTACCTGTGAACATGTCTTGCTTAGGGCAGAAGACCTTTTCCTTTTGCCAAAAGAAAGAGCTCTGCATAAGCCAGAAGCTGCCTTTCTCTTATAGAAATTACTTCACCAGACAAATGACTTGGCTGTTTCATATTGTGTCTTGTCGGTGTTCTTTAATTGCCTTCCCATAATAGAAGAGGACTTTGTGCTGGGACAGAGAGGTCAGCCCAGGTATCTAGTGGGCCACTTCTCAGCTTGTGAGACCTTGTGGAGGAACCGGTGTGAGTTCTAAGATCTGCCAGGGAGGCCCTCCTCTCAGTCCCACCTCTGTCTCAAGTGCGGTTGGTGGGGACGAGGGAGAGAGCCTTGTTGATGGTGGCCCCCTGGCTCTGGAACACTGTCCCCAGGGAACCTAGAGCTAAAAATTCTTTCAACAGACCTTTGATAACGTTAAAGATAGCAGCTAGACTACTATCTTTAGCCAGGGAAGGCTAATTTCATTGTATGAATCTTTGATCAATGGCCATTGCCATATTTCATTTATTCTATTGCTCTTGTAAATTTTATATGTCTCGTTTTAAATGTTTCTTACTTGCTTAGGCAATCCTCCATAGCTCGAGGATGATGGTCCTCCAAGTGTAGTGTCTTGGTGGTGGATACGTAGGTGGCTGTGATGCCCTATTCTTGATCTGGTTGCCTTGACGCGCCATGTTTCTCCCTTTTGCCCTCTATTCTTTCCTCTTCGAATTCCGCAGCACTGCTGGTCACAGGTGACCTCCAGCTAGAGCACTCAAGGGTCAGGGCTTCCCAGTTCTCAGTGTCTATGCCACAGTTGTTAAGGTTGGCTTTAAGTCCATCTTTAAATCTCTTTTCCTGTCCGCCAACATTATGTTTTCCATTCTTGAGTTGGGAGTATAGTAACCGCTTTGGGAGACAGTGATTAGGCATTTGGACAACATGGCCAGTCCACCCACACTTTTTCAATGAGCTGGTGGAGTTGTTGTGTCAGCTCAAGTCCACCTTCTTTAAAGATTTCAGCAGGGATCCCATCAGGTCCTCTGGCTTTGTTATTTTTTTGTTGGCCTATTGCATTGCTGACTTCCTCTAGACTAGGCAGTGCTGCAAGCTCATCCCTGGTTTGTTGTTGTGAGATTTGTGAGAGAATCTCTTTGGCCACATTGGAGCTGCACTTCAGGAGGTTTTGGTAGTGCTCTTTCCAAAATAGTGCGATTAATTTTTTTGTCCTTCAGAAGGTTCCATTTGATGAGCGTAGAGGGTGTATGCCATCATGACCTTTGTGGTTTTAAAAACTCCCTGAGTATCTGCAAAGTGTTGGACTTCTTCAGCCTTCTTTGTCCACCAGATGTTTTTGAGTTCTCTGGTCCTTCTTTGAACCTCAGCTTTTGCACTAGCGTAGATCTTTTTCTTAGCATTGCAGTTGGTGTCTCTCTGCCATATTTGGAAGGCTTTCCTTTTCTTGTCAATTAACGGTTGGATCTCTTTGTCATTTTCGTCAAACCAATCCTGATGTTCCTTAGTTTAATATCCAGTGGTTTCTTCGCAGGCTGTGATGATGCCAGACTACTATCTTTAACCAGGGAAGGCTAAATTGATTGTATGAACCTTTGATCAACAACCATTGCCATATTTTATTTATTTTATTGCTCTTGTTGATTTTTTATGTCTGATTTTACATGTGTTACTGGTTTTAGTGTTGATATATTATAGTTTACATGCTGTATGGCAACACCGTGTGCTGTTTGTTAGCCGCCCGAGTTCCTATGGAAGTTGGTGGTGGGATATAAATAAAGTTTATTATTATTTTATTATTTGTCTGCTAGACGCCCACTGGAGAGACCGACATCCTATGGGCACTCTGTGATCCTTTCTGACCACGATGCTGCTTTCCAGAAACTGGATGAGACGGACTGGTTTTGTCCCAAGGTGACCCAGAGACCCGCACGTAACAGAGGCAAGCGCCAGAGGGAGGAAATGGAGGAGGAAGAGGAGGAGGAAAAGGGGCTCAAGGATGCAACTTCTGGGCCCCAAACCTGCTCAGAGGCAGGCAATTACCCAGTCACTATCAGTACGTTTGTTATGGGAAAGGTTAACACCATTTCGAAGGACGCAGCTGACAAATGCATGGTGCCCAAGAAGCTGCTGGTGACTATGGCTCTTCAGGCGGAAAAAGAACAGCAGAAGGAACCCCCCAAGGCACATTCCTCTCCCAAGTAGGTGGCTAGGGCTGGCTGATTGGGTTTTTGGACCAGGCTGCCTTTGTAGTTTTAATGATTCCTGGGTTTGTTATCTGCCCAGGATAACATTGAAGGATCTGGAGAAGTAACGTCATGTCATGATATAATGGTTTATTGGAGAGAGATGTGTTAGAAGGGGTGCCTCATGACCCATCGTTCCATTGAAGCAAGCAAAGTTTATTGATTAGTCCATTGACCGTATTAACATTAAAAACAAAAACAGAAACGTGCACAAATAGACAATAATCACTATCCTAAGACTCCCATAATAGTGAACTAATTTACATTCAAACTTGATTAAGTTAAAAGATAATTAAAGATATCATCATTAAAATGCCAAGGTAAAATTTCACACCACAAAAATTAAAAACAAAGGTTAAAACGAAGGTTAAAATAGACCAGCTATTACACAATCCCAAGCCACTTCAGATATCTGCATCACCCCTACAGTTTACCCCAATCGCCTCCAGATACGCAGTTCTCAGCTGCATTGCTTTATAAAGGAAAAGGGCTGTTTGGTGTGTTATCTTAGCATTCTGGCCAGCCATTAAGAATGTAGTTTTGATATGGAGATCCCAGTGAGTCTTCTGTATGATGAATGGTCCGAGGTATTGATTTCTCTCTTTGTTGTACAAAATACAATTAAACAGTACATGTGTAATATCCTCTACCTCTGTCGCCCCACAGATACAGAAATGTTCATTATATGGAACTTGGTTAAACCTTCCATTTTTAACCATTGTATCTGTCTGTTCGAATCGGGTTCTAGTGAATACCCTCCTTAGATGTTTAGGCATTTCTGTCTTTAGGTATTCGGCTGTTTGAAAAGTATGTTTGAAGCGACTTAACCATTTCAGTGAGCCGGCTTTACTAAGGGGGGCAATGTCTTTCGGAGCCTCTATATCCTGTATTCGTTGTGCCACTATTTTTGTATCTAATTCTTTTAGGACATTTGGGTATAGAATTGGAAGTCCACAAGTCCTGATGTATTTTGTCAGTTGCACTAGCCAAGAGGACTTATGTTGGTTTTTGGTCTGCTCTAACAGGCACAATTTTGGTAGTCTATCATTTGCCATGGCAATTAGTTTTATCCAATATTTATATGCCCTAATTTTGGATAAACAATCGACTGTATATACTCCTGCTTCTGCTCTCACTGCTGCAGCTGGGGTCCTTTTATCCACTCTTAGAAAGTTACGCAGGTGCTGTGCTTGAGATTGCTCTAATAATAATACCTGGTTTAGGCCCCAGATTTCCGCTCCATACAGGAGCATGGGGGTAACCTTGGCCTTATATACTTTAAGAAGCAGGTCTAAGGAACCTGGTTGTCTATGGTTTGTTAATTTTAGCAGTTGGTTCCATTGAAGCTGTCCTTTGTCTCTGCTGCCAGTCCCTGAGGCCTCATAATGGTTATGACTGGCTGGCTTTCATCCAGCCTTTAGAGACCTTTTCTCCCCTGTTCTGGAGAGCGTTGACCCTTCTTCGGGGCAAGGGAGGGGCCATCCTGCTCTTCCAAGGGAGACTTAGCTTTTAGCTGGAGGTCCCCAATTTGGTCTCTCCTTCCCAAGGATTTCCTTGGGTGGCTTGAAGCTTCACTCAAGGTGGCCAGACAGACTGTGAAAGGAATCCATTTATTATTATTGTTATTATTTTACTGACATAAAACACAGTATGTCACAGCAAACGAGATCTATATGCTGGATTTTGTATCACAAATCCAAGTGTCTAGGACTGTGTGATGTATTTTCGAGTGATGCGCACAGATCCAAGTCAGGTGGCCTTTTGCAGTTGACAGATGGTGATTTTGTCAATGTTTATTGTTTCCAAATGCCCGCTGAGATCTTTCAGCACAGCACCCAGTGCGCCAATGATCACTGGGACCACCTGGACTGGTTTATGCCAGAGCCTTTGCAGTTCGATTTTGAGGTCTTGATGAAGGAGTTTTTCCTGTTGTTTTTCCTCGATGCGACTGTCACCTGGTATGGCGACATCACTAATCGAGACTTTTTTTCTTTTCTACAATCGTGATGTCTGGTGTGTTGTGTTCCAAAACTGTCAGTCTGAATTGGAAATATATTATTATTATTATTATTATTATTATTATTATTATTATTATTAGCAGCGCAGTTGGTATTTCTCTGCCATGTTTAGAAGGCTTTCCTTTTCTTATCAATTAACTGTTGGATCTCTTTGTCCTTTTTCTCAAGCCAATCTTGATGTTCCTTAGTTTGATATCCAGTTGTTTCTTCACAGGCTGTGATAATGCCAGACTACTATCTTTAGCCAAGGAAGGCTAAATTGATTGTATGAACCTTTGATCAACAACCATTGCCATATTTTATTTATTTTATTGCTCTTGTTAATTTTATGTGTCTGGTTTTACATGTGTTACTGGTTTTAATGTTGATATATTATAGTTTACATGCTGTATGGCAACATCATGTGCTATTTGTAAGCCTCCGAGTTCCTATGGGAGTTGGTGGTGGGATATGAATAAAATTTATTATTATTTTATTATTTGTCTGCTAGACGCCCACTGGAGAGACCGACTACCTATGGGCACTCTGTGATCCTCTCTGACTCGGACGACCCCGATGCTGCCTTCCAGAAACTGGATGAGACGGACTGGACTTGTCCCAAGGTGACCCAGAGGCCCGCACGTAACACAGGCAAGCGCCAGAGGGAGGAAATGGAGGAGGAAGACAAAGAAGAGGCAGAGGAGGAGGAAAAGGGGCTCAAGGATGCAACTTCTGGGCCCCAGTCCTGCTCAGAGGCAGGCAATAAACCAGTCACTATCAGTACGTTCCTTATGGAAAAGGAAAACACAATTTTGAAGGACGCAGCTGACAAACGCATGGTGCCCAAGAAGCTGCTGGTGACTGTGGCTCTTCAGGCGGCAGAAGAACAACAGAAGGAACCCCCCAAGGCACATTCCTCTCCCAAGTAGGTGGCTAGGGCTGGCTGATTGGGTTTTTGGACCAGGCTGCCTTTGCAGTTTTAATGATTCCTGGGTTTGTTATCTGCCCAGGATAACATTGAAGGGTTTGGAGTTGTAACGTCATGTCATGATATAATGGTTCATTGGAGAGAGATGTGTTAGAAGGGGTGCCTCATGACCCATCATTCCATTGAAGCTGTCTCTGCTGCCAATCCCTGAGGCCCCGTAATGATTATGACTGGCTGGCTTTCATCCAGCCTTTAGAGACCTTTTCTCCCCTGTTCTGGAGAGCGTTGACCCTTCTTCAGGGCAAGGGAGGGGCCATCCTGCTCTTCCAAGGGAGACTTGGCTCTTAGCTGGAGGTCCCCAATTCAGTCTCTCCTTCCCAAGGATTTCCTTGGGTGGCTTGAAGCATCACTCAAGGTGGCCAGACAGACTGTGAAAGGAATCCATTTATTATTGTTGTTGTTATTTTACTGACAGAAAAGCACAGTATGTCACAGCAAATGAGATCTATATGCTGGATTTTTGTATCACAAAAGGGTCCTTTGTCCCACCCTGGTCATTCCACTGTTATATAAACCCATTTTCCTAGTTCCAACAGACCTTACTACCTCTGAGGATGCTTGCCATAGATGCAGGCAAACGTCAGGAGAGAATGCCTCTAGAACAGTGTTTCTCAACCTGGGGGTCACGAAGGGGTGTCAGAGGGGTCACCAAAGACCATAAGAAAACACCATAAGAAAACTTCCATGTGGGAAGTTTGAGCCAATTCTATCATTAGTGGAGTTCAGAATGTTCTTTGATTGTAATGAATTATAAATCCCAGCAACTACAACTCCCAAATGTCAAGATCTATTTTCCCCAGACTCCATCAGTGTTCACATTTGGGCATATTGAGTATTCGTGCCAAGTTTGGTCCAGATCCACCATTGCATGAGTCCACAGTGCTCTCTGGATATAGGTGAACTACAACTCCCAAACTCAAGGTCAATGCCCATCAGACCCTTCCAGTGTTTTCCATTGGTCATGGGAGCCAAGTTTGGTTCAAATCCATCGCTGGTGGAGTTCAGAATGCTTTTTGATTATAAGTAAACTATAAAACTCAGCAACCAGAACTCCCAAATTACAAAATCAGTCCTTCCCCCAACCCCACTAGCATTCACATTTGGGTGTATTGGGTATTTGTGCCCAGTTTGGTCCAGTGAATGAAAAGGCATCCTGCATATCAGATATTTACATTATGATTTATAATAGTAGTAAAATGACTGTTATTAAGTGGCAATGAAAACAATATTATGGTTGGGGGGTCACCACAAGATGAGGGACTGTATTAAGGGGTCACGGCATTAGGAAGGTTGGGAACATGGCCATATAACCCGAAAAAACCTACAACAACCCAGTGATTCCGGCCATGAAAGCTTTCGACAATACAATTGTCAGTGCAATTGTACGTGTTCGCTAGTGTCTCTGGAGGGATCAATTTTAAATGTTTTGCCACTCCTTTTGTATTTTGTATTTTTCCTGGAGAAATAGATGAAGTAGCACATCCCTGGTTCTGGGTAAGAGATGAATCTTTCTCTGCTTCATCCAGGTCCTCCAAGGCGAGCATCAGCACTTCAACTGAAGAGGAAGAGAAGGAGGTTTGGAGTGACGAAGAGGAACTCTTCATTGACCTCGGTAAGTGTGAACCGCAAGGGAAATGGCCAGTTGACTGTCCTGCCAGGTGGGTGGCCAGGAGGGCTTGGGGCAGTAAGTTTGGGCTGACCTCGGTGCAGTGACCACTGTGGTCAGCCCATGAGGGTTGCCATTCTCTTCACAATACTCACAGAAGTTATGGAGACTGATGGGGTTCTATTTCAGGACCGAAAGGCAGGAAAAACAACAGCAGCAATACTTCCATCAACGGCTGCAAGAGGAAGGTAAGGCAGCGTCCTCTCGCTCTAGGTAGCCCAACCTATGATCAGATACCCCTCTCTAGGAATTTCTTAATTCCTCCAGGGTGACTCTGTGGTAATACCTGGTTTCTTTTTTTAAATATATATTTTAAATATTTTTTATTATTTTATCATAGTTCAGTACATTTGTTATACATTGTTTATTTTGCAGCAGATTCATATTATTCAGTACAACCTACCATACTTTAACTTTTGGCATCTATTGTTATTTTTCTGCTTATACATATTATCTATCCTTCACCACGGTGCTCCCCTCCCCCCTCCCAAGCCACAGCTTTTACATATCATCTGTCCAAAATTTGAGTTCTTCTTGTGGAGGTAACTTTCTTTCTTTCTTTTTAAATCCTTTTTCAATGAATTTTCTCCATACATCATCAAAATCATTTTGTTTCCATATACCCCTTTTAACTTTTAATATACATGTCAGCTTATCATTTATTGCCAATTTCCAGACTTCCTTGTGCCACTCCTCTATTTGTATATTTGTTTCTTTTTTTCCAATTCCTTGCTATAAGTAGTCTTGCTATTGTTAATAAGTTTGTTATCGCATCTTTATCCTCTTTTTTTCAATTGCTTATTGTTTTATAATGATAATAAAGCTATACTAGGACTTCTTTCTATTTTAATGTTCATTATATCCTCTATTTCTCTAAATACTTTCCCCCAAAATGTATTTACATATTTACATTGCCACCACGTATGTATATATGTTCCTGATTCTTGACATCCGTCATATCTGATTTCAATAGGGTTTGCTGTTATCCATGGTTCCCTGTTTCTATAGTAAGTTCAGGCCCATATCCCCCAAATATATGGGAGCTGGACTGTATTTAGCAGAAGCTTGGGATAGAGTTACAGAATTCCAAGGCTTAGATGTTATTGTTAGTAATGTTACTTATTATATATACTCGAGTATAAGCCGACCCTATTTTAAGCCGAGGCACCTAATTTTACCACAAAAAACTGGGAAAACATATTGACTCAAGTTTAAGCCAAGGGTGGGAAATACAGCAGCTACTGGTAAATTTCAAAATAAAAATAAATACCAATAAAATTACATTAACTGAGGTATCAGTAGGTTAAATGTTTTTGAATATTTACATCAAACTGATTAAACCATTATTTTAACCTTCAATATAAATGTGTTTACATATCCTTCCAATAATAATAGAGTAAAATAATAAATGTAATAATAATAGAGTAAAATAATGTAAATTTAATAATAATAATAATAATAATGTAAAATAATAAATGTAATAATAGAATAAAATAATGGAAATGTAATAATAACAATAATGTAGTAAAATAATAAATATAATATTAGAGTAAAATAATAAATGTAATAATAACAATAGAGTAAAATAATAAAAGTAATAAAATAATAAAAATGGAGTAAAATAATGAAAATGCAATAATAATAGAGTAAAATAATAAATGTAATTAATAATAATAATAATAATAACAACAACAAAAAGAGTAAATTAACAAATAACTTTGACTTGAATATAAACCGAGGGGGGCTTTTCCAGCCTAAAAAAAGGGCTGAAATGAATAGCACAACAGGGTTATTACTGAGGTCCAGAACTTTGCTGAAATATCTGCACAATCTCAGCTGTCATTTCGATGGACTTTTTGTTGTTTTCCTTTTACTGAAAGCTGGTTTTATTTGATGCACCAAATAAAAAAGAGAAAAAGCACTTCTCTGGCCCATTTACCACTTGCCTTCCCATTCTCCTTCCATAACCGTCCATTGTGCATATATAAATATGCACACTTTCCCTTTGAATTGTATTTGGGGGGCGGGGGTCACTAAAATTCCCTGTGTGTTCTTTACTAAGACACAGAGAGAATGCCTCCCAGTGGGCTTTGTGTCATCAAATTGAAGCATTTCCTGAGTTATTGGCTACTTGGAAAGAGTTATTGGCTACTTGGTAGAGAGCTTTGCCTTTTGTCAGTATTGGGGCTTGTTTGGAAGGGCCCTCCCCATTTCGGCCATCATTGTGGCTCACGGAAGCCTCTCCTCCTTTCCCCGCAGAAGTGGACAAGGGAGGAGTCCCAGTGGATCAAGGCTGGTGTGAGGAAGTTTGGGGAAGGTAACTGGAAGGCCATCTTCAAGAGCTATCCCTTCAAGGAGCGAACCCCAGTTATGATCAAGGACCGCTGGCGGACCATGAAGAAGCTTGGGATCCAGTAAATCCGTGGAGGAGAGTGGAGGACGGCAGAACATGGCCTGTGCGTGTCGAAAAGATGGCCCAGAATGGCTTCCTCTGAAGACTGCATTGAACTGACCTTCGTGGTGGGGCCTTGCTTGTGAAGGTCACCATTGAGGACTGAAGAAGCAGCACATAGTCCTCTCAAGTCACTAGTTGTTCGGCAGTTCCACGCAACAGGGATCATTATTTTTCCTGTTCTTTGGGCAACAGTTGGAGGATAGGAAAGAGAGGTGGGTGGGTGGGCAGGCGGGCGGGCAGGTGGAAAGATAACTCAGTTACGAGCAATAGGTAGGACTCCACTTAAGGAACTGAAGGAGTTCTCGTCAATGTGTAAAAAAGAGCCCCAAGATGTTTCCTCCTGTTTTCCATATAGATTGAAGCAGGGCCTCCCCAGGAGACTTTATTTTTACCATATAAAGACTTCTGTGTCATGGAACAGAGGGAGGATAACCCATGGTTTGGGGTTTATGAATTTTTCTTTCTTTCTTGAGAGTCATTGAGACCAAACAAAAGAGAGATTGGGTCAAACTTTGTATGTTTAGCAAAATAAAGCATTGTATTAGATATTTGCTTACATTTCTTCTCCTCAGGTCTGTGGTCTCCAAGGGGAAAGCTCCAAGGCCACTTTGAGACTCATTTTAAGAGATGAAAGCAGGATGAATGCTGATAATAATGATGCTAATAGTATTAAGATGCCACTGCTGAAGTTGCCTATATGTAGGTCTGATGTTTTGAACATATTGCAACAGAAGCTTGACTTTGAATAGGACCTGGATTGTTATAGTCACTGAAAAGAGGCTGCACATGAATATTCTAGCAAAACAGTGGTTTTATGATGACAAAATGAGTAGGACAATTTAGTTTCCCATCTTCAGGGGATCCTATATATGTTGAATACCGAACCTGGGCGAGGATGAGGAATGAACTGATGGATGAATGGGCTTATTAACAGAAGACTCTCATAAATGTACAGCGGAGTGACTTAGCAGCAGCATCGTGACCCAGCACCAGTAGCCCAAAGTGATATAAACAACAAAAACACAGACCAATGCTATGTCTTCCAAAGGAGGCTTTTCTTTATAGCAAAATAATATGGTTGCACTATTTACAAGAACAAGGTTTCCGTAACATAAATAATGTTCTTTACACTTCCTTCTTTGCTTCCACGCTGGGCTTCTTTCTTAAGCAGATAAATAGCTTCAACCTCACAGAGTCTCATCTCACACCAAAGTTACACAAGAGCTACACACAGCAGCTTTCACACTGGAGCTTCCTCACACTGAGGCATTCTCATACTGAGGCCTTTCTCACACTGAGTCCCTTCTCCCACAGAGACCTCTCACAGACTGAGGACTACCTCAAACCCTGGACTACTAAGCTACAAGCACACCTGCTTATATAGAACTGCAGCTTTTCACACTGAGGCCTTTCTTTACAGAGACCTCAGACACTGAGGACTCTCTCAGACTGATGTCTCTCTCACACTGAGGCTAACTAACAGAGGTCTTTCTCCCACTGATGCCTCTCTCATACTGACGTCTATTAAGCTGCAGGCAAACTTGCTTATATAGAACTGCTGCTTTTGCTGAATCATTGCTTCCATTTAACCCTTTCAGAGCTTGACTCGCATTTTTGTAGTTAATATTTAGTATTTCTTACATGAACACCATTCAATTCCAACATAGGATGAAGGTATTGTGATGCCTGGCTAACTCTGGCTTGGTGTGTCATTTAGCAATGTTTGTGTCACAACTTGAGGTGTGTGGCTTATTCTGACCTCTTCCTGTTTGCCTGCCTTTTATGTCTGGAACCGAGCATGGCAGTAAGATGTGTGTTTGTGTGGTATTTCGGTAGTTCTACACGGGGCACCTCATGATTCGGCTTGGCTTGTCTTATCAGATTTGGTAAATAAACGTTTACTTAGCAGTAGAAAATGTTTTGGAGAAACTGGGACCAGGCTTGACTCCTTGCTTGACCATAAAAGCCTGCTGGGTCACATTCTCTCAGTCTTGGGGGAATTGGTCAACAAGGTTGCCGTAAGTTGGAAATGAGTTGAAAGCATACAACAAGAAGGAACAATTTCACCCAGAAGCACAGAATTGCCTGCTCTTGCTGGGACTCTTGAGTTGTCCTTTCCTAGAACTGTTTTCCTAGTTTCCTGGGCCATTCTCTCTTATCTCTGCTCCTGGGAAAGCTCCCTCCTGGCACCCATGATGTGTGTCCTTCAGCTTCCAAGGAGAGGTCAGTCTGGTGGAGCAGCTTTTCAAGAGCAAGGAACACAGGTGGCCAGGAATGCTGCCAATCAGGTTTGTATTATTTTTTTAAAGATCTCAGGTCTCCAGCTTGGAAAAAGAAGCCTCATGGCAGGAAGCAGATTTTGCAAAGGATGCAGCGTGGAAAAGAGCTTGACACAAATAGATAATGGCTCTTGTCAAGTCTAGACTGAGTTGGAGGCTGAAAAATTGTGCATGAGCTCCAAGGATCCCAGATCATAATATTTAGTTTCTCTGCACTTTCTGCCAATGGGCAACTCTTCCTTCTTGAGCTGTGCGTCTGTCCCCTTCAGCATAGATTTGAGTTTATAGCTCCACTCAGCTGAGAGTCCCATTGGACAGCCTTGGGGCCAGTCTACCTTGCAGGATAACAACATTACGCATATATGTCAACTTACTGGGTTGCTTTGAGTTTTCTGGGCTGCATGGCCATGTTCCAGGAGCATTTTCTCCTGATGTTTCACCCACATCTATAGCTGGCATCCTCAGAGGTTGTGAGGTTTGTTGGAAACTAGGCAAGTGGGATGTATATATTGGTGGAATGTCCAGGGTGGGAAAATGAACTCCTGTCTGTTTGAGACAAGTGTGGGTGCTGCAACTGATCACCTTAGCATTGCATAGCCTTGCAGCTTCAAGGCTTGGATTCCTCCTGCCTGGGGGATCAGTTGTTGGGAGGTGTTAGCTGGCCCTGATTATTTCCTGTCTGCAATTCCCCTGTTTTGATTGTTGTTAGTAGTAATTTTATTGATTAGCCCTTAGGCCATATCACAATAAGAAACAGATTGAGTGTTGTTCTTTCTTTACTATTCTGATTTTAGAGTGTTTTAAAATATTGGTAGCCAGATTTTAATTGAATGTTAAACGAATTTATTGATGAATTTTATAATGTTTTAATTGAGTTTTATTGTTTTAATTGAATGTATATGTTGACAGTATTACTGATGCTTATGTGAAGCCGCGCAGAGTCCCCTGTTGGGAGATGGGCGGGGTAGAAATGAAGGAAATAAATAAATAAATATAAAATTTTGTTCATTTTCATGGCTTCCTCCTTGTGGATTTCAATTGCTTCTCTGTATAGAAGCCTCTGAGGATACCTGCCAATGATGTGGGCAAAATGTCAGGAGAGAATGCTTCCCGAACATGGCCATACAGCTTGGAAAACTCACAGCAACCCAGTGATTCCCTCCATGAAAGCCTTTGACAACACATATTTAATTATTTTATTTATTTACTTCATTTATATACCGCTTTTCTCAGCCCTTAGGCGACTCAAAGCCGTTAACAACAGCAAAAATTCAATGCTAAAAATCATAAAAACATACATATGTCAATGTATATTCTGTATTGAAAAAGAGAGACAAAGTGGCAGCTATGATAAAATAACTTGTGGACTTTCTTGTTGTTTTGAGTCCTTTAGGCACCTTGAAGAAGAGCAGTTTGAGGATTGTTGCAGATTCCTAGAAGAAACTCATTTACAGTGGCGATGGAAAATGTCTTGGCTTTCAGTCGGCACTGAACTTCCATGTTCCATCATCCCTGGTGAGTTAGATGGGACTGCGAGTCCCAAATCTATGGGTTTCCCCCATCCATCCTTCAAAAGTCACAGTAAGGTTTCCTTGAGGAACTAGTGACAAGCACAAGGTTGCGTGAGCGGCTGAGTTAATCTTTAACCCAATCTGCCTTCCTTCGCTGCCAGACGGCCAACTCACACTCCATGAGAGAGATCTCCATCTTCCAGGCTCCGCTCCAGCTGTCTTCTTCGCACCATGTGCCTGCTGTTCCCTTTTGCTGTGATTGTAGCCGTCTCGGGGGGCCTGCAACTGGCGGAAGCCCGCAAGACTGAGCCCCTGAGCGGTTCTGGCGACCAGCCCCTCTTCCGTGGGTCAGACATGAATGACTTTGCTATTGTTGTTCCAGCCGGTGGCATCGAGTGCTTCTGGCAATTTGCGCACCAGAGCGGTCAGTTCTACTTCAGCTATGAGGTTGGTGAGATGGGGCTGCTCTAATAATATTTTCATGGGATACATATATTTCCTCTACCAATCTCACAAGCTCGTCTTGTGGGCACAAGGGGGAGAGCCTTCTCCTCTGTGGCTCCCCGACTTTGGAACTCTTTACCTGGAGAGACCAGGAAAGCCCCTTCACTAGAAACGTTCAAAAAGAACCTTAAAACCTGGCTCTTCCGCTGTGCTTTTGGCAAGTAGGTGCACACCATAACATTCTGCACCCTTCAAAGTTTTTTGCTACTGGAGCTCGTTCCCTCCAAATGGGAAGTTTAGCCTCACAACTCTGTGTGTCAGGAGCTCCTATTTTATCTCATTACAGTCTTTTAATTGTTTTACCCTTTACATGTGGCCCGCCCATTGTTATTGTTACTGTGGTTGTGTTTATTAGAATGTTATTTTATGACTGCCTTTTTTTTTTGCTTATATAGTTTTAGAATCTTAGAATCATAAAGTTGGAAGAGACCTCATGGGCCATCCAGTCCTACCCCCTGCCAAGAAGCAGGAATATTGCATTCAAAGCACCCCTGACAGATGGCCATCCAGCCTCTGTTTAAAAGCCTCCAAAGAAGGAGCCGCCACCACACTCCAGGCAGAGAGTTCCACTGCTGAACGGCTCTCACAGTCAGGAAGTTCTTTCATCATGTTCAGATGGAATCTCCTTTCTTGTAGTTTGAAGCCATTGTTCCGCGTCCTCGTCTCCAGGGAAGCAGAAAACAAGCTTGCTCCCTCCTCCCTGTGGCTTCCTCTCACATATTTATACATGGCTATATATCCTCTCTCTTCTCTTCTCAGGCTAAACATGCCCAGCTCCTTAAGCCGCTCCTCATAGGGCTTGTTCTCCAGACCCTTGATCTAGTCGCCCTCCTCTGGACACATTCCAGCTTGTCAATATCTCTCTTGAATTGTGGTGCCCAGAATTGGACACAATATTCCAGGTGTGGTCTAACCAAAGCGGAAATAGAGGGGTAGCATTACTTCCCTAGATCTAGACACTATGCTCCTCTTGATGCAGGCCAAAATCCCATTGGCTTTTTTTGCCGCCACATCACATTGTTGGCTCATGTTTAACTTGTTGTCCACGAGGACTCCATGATCTTTTTCACACATACTGCTCTCAAGCCAGGCGTCCCCCATTCTGTATCTTTGCATTTACAGAATGGGGGACGCCTGGCTTGAGATTTTGATGTTGTTGTTGTTGTTGTTTCTTTATGCTTTGGTTTTATTGCTGTAATATGTTGTCTGGGCTTGGCCCCATGTAAGCCGCTCCGAGTCCCCACTGGGGAGATGGTGGCGGGGTATAAATAAAGATTATTATTATTATTATTATTATTATTATTATTATTATTTCCTGCCTTTCTCTGAATGTGGGGCGTGGGAGCTTCCCCTGGGCTTCGTTGTCTTGTAGGATTTTGGGATTTGCAGTTCAGGGAGGAAGCATCCTTAGGATTCTCCATCAGCGAGTCCTAATGCTATGACCACAGTGTGGAATGGCCACAATGGCTTTCTTTCCTTGTAGCACTTGCAGGACTTCGTATTCCTTACAACATGCACTTCCATCAGAGTATCTCCTGTAAGTAATGGACTACAACTCCCAGCATTCCTTGGATGCACTGCCTCAGAGTCTAGTGGGAGCTGCATCCACAAGGGGTACGATTCCCTTCCTGATCTTTTTAAGTCAAACATGGGGGCCATTCATCCAGTCAGGTGCTGTTATGCCATGGTTAGGTATTTCCTGACTAAGGGAATATCTGGGGTGGCAAGTTATTCTCAACCTGGTATAAATTCTTAGAAGATTGGGGATATATGTACATAAAAGTAAAAGTTTACCCTGACATTAAATCTAGTTGTGTCTGGCTCTGGGGGGTGGTGCTCATCTCCATTTCTAAAACGAAGTGCTGGCATCGTCCATAGACACCTCCAAGGTCATATGGATAGCATGACTGCATGGAGCACCATTACCTTACCTCCCCTGGTAGTCCAATGGGTTAAACCCTTGTGCCGGCAGGACTGAAAACCGGCAGGTTGCAAGTTTGAATCCGAGGAGATCGCAGATGAGCTCCCTCTGTCAGCTCCGGCTCCCCATATGGGAACATGAGAGAAGCTTCCCACAAGGATGGTAAAACATCAAAACATCTGGGCATCCCCTGGGCATCATCCTTGCAGACGGCCAATTTTCTCACCCCAGAAGCAACCCGGGGGGGGGGGGGGGCATGACAAAAACCTTACTGCCAAAGAAGTAAGGAAAGCTTAGAGAAGACAATGACGCTGGGGAAAATGGAAGGGAAAAGGAAGAGGGGCTGACCAAGGGCAAGATGGATGGATGGCATCCTTGAAGTGACTGGCTTGACTCTGGAGTTGCTGGGGGTAGTGATGGCCAACAGGGAGCTCTGGTGTGGGCTGGTCCATGAGGTCACAAAGAGTCGAAAGCAACTGAATGAATAAACAACAAAACTGCCAAAGTGGTACTGATTGATCTACTCACATATGCATGTTTTCGAACTGCTAGGTTGGCAGAAGCTGGGGCAAATAGCAAGAGCTTACTCCATTCCCTGGATTCAAACAGGCAACCTTTCAGTCAGCAAGTTCAGCAACTCAGCAATTTGACCTGTGCCACCAGGGGGTCTGTATATATACACACACATACACACATACTTATATACATTTCATTTCATAAGCAATTCATCTACAGACTTAGGGTCCACCTCTTCCTTCCAAAGCCACCCAGGCCCCCAAAGGGAACTCTCTGCCCAGTGTCCTCGTGTTTCCCTTCCAGGTGCAGTGGAGCTCAGGGATTGGCCAGGACACCAGGCACATCCTGGCCACGGCCAACGACCCCAATGGCCTCCATCTTGGCACCTCGCAGGACGTCCGGGGGCTGATCCACTTCCGGACCATGGAGACAGGTGACTCAAAAGTACCTGGGACTCTCTTAAGCTGACCTCCCATCATGGGGAAGCAGGTGGGGGCAAGGCATGGGTGTATTTTGACCACAGGTGTAACAAAGACCTACCTTAGAAGTAAGGCAACCAGTTGAGAAAGTGCCAAAGCTGGCTTGCATTGGAAGATTAGGCCCAGCAAGACAAGGATCAGACGGAGTTGTTGTAGGTTTTTTCGGGCTATATGGCCATGTTCCAGATGCATTCTCTTCTGACGTTTCACCTGCATCTATGGCAAGCATCCTCAGAGTTTGTGAGGTCTGACCAGACCTTCATTTGGCTAGTTTACATAAGGGATACCATTATATGTAAAATAGCCAAATGAAGGTCTGGTCCATTATACTACCCCATAGAGCTCCTGATGGCACAGTGGGTTAAATCCTTGTGCTGGCAGGACCGAAGACCGACAGGTCGCAGGTTCGTATCCAGGGAGAGCGCGATGAGCTCCCTCTGTCAGCTCCAGCTCCCCATACAAGGACATGAGAGAAGCCTCCCACAAGGATAGTAAAACATCAAAAAACATCCGGCCGTCCCTTGGGCAACGTCTTTGCAGATGGCCAATTCTCTCACACCAGAAGTGACTTGCAGTTTCTCAAGTCTCTCCTGACATGAAAAAAAAATACTACGTCATTGTAAATCATGAAGCTTGAGTCTATGGATTTGGATACCTATTGAGGGCTCTGGAATCAGCCCTCCTGACTTTGCTTTCAATTTGCCAAAGGAAAGAAGAGGCATAGCTATGGCAGCTACGGAAGCACATTGGTGAAATGGGCAGCTCAGAACCCCATGTATTATGCCTAGTAGGCATGTGCAATCCATGGTTCTAAATGGTTCTAAAGTACTTACAAAACTAAAGTTCTGGTTGTGAAAACTAGGGGGTGCTGGTGCTTTGCTTCTACAGTGTTGCTAAAGTTCTGGTGGTAAAAATTTCAGAACTCTAACAAAACTTTCAAATTTAGTTTTGTAAGTACTTTAGAACCATTTAGAACCATGGATTGCACATACCTAATGTCTAGATCCCATTAGTGACTTACAAGAGTACAAATTCCACCTACCTAACCATTGTATGTCCCCTTTGGGTGTCAGGATTCTGCAAAAAGACCAAATGTATCCAGGGCCCACTATTTTCAGCCGATAGCCTCCAATCCGTGGCCATTTTGGTGCCTGGTGGAGAGTAGGAGATTGGAGGAGACACACTGGGTACCTGCACCCAAGGTCTGAGCAAACAGATACAAGGGAATCTTATCCCCACAGGCATTAAAGGAAGCTCTTTGCAGCACTTTGCCCGTTTCTCTCATCAGTGGGACCCAATAACACTTTCATGGGAAAGCTTCCTCATCCAAACATGAATCAAACGTTTCCTTGCAGGGTTCTACCAGCTCTGCCTGAGCAACCAGTACAACCACTTTGGGTCGGTGCAGGTCTACCTGAACTTTGGTGTCATCTACGAGGGTTTTGACCTACAGAACACACCGGAACTCGAGAAAAAGAAGCTCAACGACACGTTGGAGGCTATTGACGTAAGTGTTACGAAAGAACCAAGGCGCTCCTGGGACAGACACGAATTCAAGACCATTCCAAGATAGGGGCTTCTGGTCCTTCTGGTTGTAAACGGGGTTAAGAGGGAGACACGTGGCTCCTTTTGGGCCAAAGATGTGAAGGAGAATGCTTATTGGGGCACCTTTCTATTCAATTCAAGAGCAGTATTTAATAATAATAATAATAATAATAATAATAATAATAATAATACTTTATTTGTACCCCGCTTACATAAGGCCGAGCCCACAATACATCAATACAAGCAATAACAACAACAATACAAAGCAATTAAAATAAATTTCAAACACAAATAGCATAAACATTGACAATAGCACAACACACATTTAAAGTCTATGGCTAGGCCAAAAGTAATTAAAATTTAAAATAATGCTGGGCATGAACAAGATAGGGAGGTGGGGCGTTGGTGGGAACATACAAATAATCCTAAATCAGTATTAGGTGCTTTAGAGGACATAGTGCTAAGGGTTCATTATTCTGGGAAGGCAAACTGGAATAACCACGTTTTCAAGCTCCTCCTAAAGACTGCCAGAGATGGGGCATGTCTGATGTCCTTGGGAAGTGAGTTCCAGAGTCGAGGGGCCACCACAGAGAAGGCCCTCTCTCTCGTCCCTGCCAGTCGCGCTTGCGATGCATGCGGGAGCGCGAGCAGGGCCTCTCCAGATGATTGAAGAGATCGTGTGGGTTCGTACACAGAAATGAGGTCATGCAGGTAGGCAGGTCCCAAACCATTCAGGGCTTTGTAGGTAAAAACTTGCACCTTGAATTGGGTCCGGAAAATGAACGACAGCCAATGGAGCTCCTTAAACAGGAGGGTTGACCGCTTCCTGTAAGGAGCACCACTTAACCTGGCCGCCGCCCGTTGGACCAACTGAAATTTCCGAGCCGTTTTCAAGGGCAGGCCCACGTAGAGCGCATTACAGTAGTCCAATCTAGAGGTGACTAAGGTGTGGATCACCCGGGCCAGATCCGCCTTCCCGAGGTATGGGGAGCCAATTGCACCCACAGCTTCAGGCTTTGACCCACCAGTAGCGCCTGGGAAGGGAGGACCTGGCCCTGATCTTGGTCTGTGTTGTCTTTGCCTCTGTCACAAGAAATATAATATGCAGATTTGATAACTGTGGATTTGTGGGTATGAATGGAATTGTATGGAAGAATGAATGAGAGCTAATAGTTTGGCACCATTCTAAAGATTTAAGGCCTGCAATGACTAACCACCTCCTTGCTGGACTGTAATTAAAAGTTGCTAATGTGTTGCAGCTGATTGGGAGTCAGCTGCATTAAGATCACTACTGACCGAAAGGTCATGAGTTCGAAGCCAGCCCGGGTCGGAGTGAGCTTCCAACCAATTTGTGTAGCTTGTTGTCGACCTTTGCAGCCCGAAAGACAGTTGCATCTGTCAAGTAGGAAATTTAGGTAACACTTACGTGGGGAGACTAATTTACGAGGCCATAAAAATCTCCAGCAAGCATGCAAAGAATGAGGAAGTATTTCATCAGTGTCACAAATGGACAGTGAAGTGACAGTTCCCCTGGTGGCCAGAATACCCTCGTGAAAATGTTAAATAGCCTCTGAGTGTCTGTTTATTTATGTTGTGTGGCTATGGTAAGCAGTGTATTGAATATAGGAATATGGAACAACGGATTATGAGATTGGATCTTGATTCTACCTATGAGATGCTACTGAAATGTTATAGTTATGTTTATTTGATCGTTTATTATGTCATAGTTTTAATTGTTTTAAACTGTTTTTATGATGTTGAGCATTTAATTTTGCTATTGTTAACCGCTTTGAGTCACCCAAGGGCTGAGAAAAGTAGTATATAAATGAAATAAATAAATAAATACATATGGTATTGAATGCTTGCCAGGTATATGTACATTGTAATCCGCCCTGAGCCCCCTGCGGGGTGAGAAGGACAGAATATAAATACTGTAAATAAATAAAATAAATAAACAGAAATGGTAAACTGTGATAAGAACTGTGACAGTGATAAGAGGAAATGTTTACAGTGTTAAGAAGGAAGTCAACACAAAGCTAACACCATTAAAAAACAATCAACATCTGTCCAGGAAATTGAGATGGAACCAGGATGGAAGACGTCGATCATTAATTTACAACTTTGGGACGACATCAGCAGGATATTCCTATAAAAGACTCAATCTAATAATTCTCAAATTGTGACAGAGACACTGTTCACCCGCTATGCTCTGCTCCATGAGAAGGGGAGAAGTAGTGTATGTATGGAGAGTGTCAGATATGCTATGGGAAAGCAGGATCCTGTACACTTTGGGGCTTCTTTCTCAAGGGAAGAGGAAGGAGTATGTTTTGGAATCATACTTTTTCAGGGAGTCAGGTTCTGCTGATTGAAAACAGGGAGCTGGTCCTTGACATTGTGCTTAGGAAAGGAGGATGCATTTTGGCATTTTAGAAGCATTTTGGAACTATGTGTTGACAGGCTGCAGGGAAGCAGGGGTTAGCCTAAGCAGGTGCTTCTCCAAGGAAGGATAAAAGGATATGGCAATATTTGGATGCGTGAGGATGGATTAATGTTTATATGTGTGTGAATGTTGAGTGAAAATATAACCCCCTTTTGTTTGTTTGTTAGCCAATGTAAAAGGTGTTTGTGAATCCAAGCTATATATATATATATAAATGCTCTGTTTGTTTGAGTGACATTATTATTATTATTTATCGTGTCATCCGCAACCAGAACATTGTATTACATTTCTAGCAGAAGAAAACAAACAGACATCATGAGTGACATCATAACTCATAAACCGCTGGACTAATTGCTGCCAAATTTGGCCACAAGACACCTACTAACCCAAGGACTGACCATCACTAAAAAGGTTGATGTTATCATTTGGGAGTTGTAGTTGTTGGGATTTATAGTTGACCTACAATCAAAGAGTATTCTGAACTCCACCAACAATGGAATTGAACCAGACTTGGCACACAGAACACCCATGACCAACAGAAAACACTAGAAGGGTTTCATGGGCATTGACTTTGAGTTTTGGAGTTGTAGTTCACCTATATCCAGAGAGCACTGTGGACTCAAACAATGATGGATCTGGATCAAACTTGGCACAAATACTCCATATGTTCAAATATGAACACAGGTGGAGTTTGGGGCAAATACACCTTGACATTTGGGAGTTGTAGTTACTGGGATTTATAGTTCACCTATAATAAAAGAGCTTTCTGAACCCCACCAACAATAGAATTGGGCCAGACTTCCCACACAGAGCCCCCACGACCAACAGAAAATACTGTGTTTTCTGGTGGTGTTTGGCAACCCTTCTGACACCCCCTCGCGACCCCCAGGTTGAGAAATGCTGCCTTAAGACCATCCAGTCCAACTCCTTTCAGCAGGCCAAGAAAATATAATCAAAGCCCTCCTGACAAAGAGCCATCCAGCCATAGATATAGATGGATGGATGGATAGACATGATTCACACACACACACATTTATGAAAGATATAGTATAATAAATTTGAAAGGGACCCTTAAAGAAGGACAATGATATGTTGTATGTGCCAGAGTAGGCAAATCAGACAATCTCTACATCAAGGGCTGACCATCACTCAAAAAGGTTTATGTTGTCATTTGGGAGTTGTAGTTGTCCAAGAAACAACAAGAAATACTGTTTACCCACAAGCATAAAGAAATTACATATATTAGAAACCAACACTTTCTCATTATTTTCCAGATCACCAGACTAGGCCACAGCAATGTGTGACAGGGGACCGCAAGTGTAGTTATATAGAATCGTATGTCTAATGTCATTCTTTGTGTAAAAGTTCTGTTACAAGTTTTGATATACCCTCTCGCACTGGAAATTGCAATAAAAAGAACCTATGTTTTAAAGTTATTGAAAAGATATTCATGACACCTCCCTTCCTGGGCAGGAGAGCACCCGGAAGCTGATGCTGCACATCTTCCACATGTGGCGGCACTGCAGCGTCTCCCGCATGAAGGGCACCTCCGACTTCTTCCTGGTCCAATCCAACCTCAATTATGTCAACTGGTGGTCGGCCGCCCAGAGCCTAGCCATCATCCTTTCGGGCCTCCTCCAGCTCTACTTCATCAAGCGCTTCTTCGCCGTCCGGACCACAACTGACACCAACAAGCCACGCTGCTGAAGACCAGGTGCTTGGCCTGGCCCCACTTCTCCATCACTTGCAGGCCCCAAAAGGAAGGAGCATCCCTGAAATGCCAGAAAGGGGGAAAGAGCAGTGCTTCCCTACCTCTTGGGGCTTAGCGTTCAGGGACCGAACTGGAGCGATTCAGGCACCACTGTGTTAACTGAAAGGGACTGACTCACTTGCTCTCCATTCACAATAAAGCTGGTCAAGGTAAAAGAGCACTATTCATTCAAGCCCTTCCTAATGCAGTCACTACGTGCACAACTGACACTAGCAGCATGGCAAGTTCCAGACCCAGTTTTTTCATGTCAGGAGTGACTTGAGAAACTGCAAGTCACTTTTGGTGTGAGAACTGGCCTTCTGCAAGGACATTACTCAGAGGACATTGCCTGGAAGTTTAATGTTTTACCATCCTTATGGGAGGCTTCTCTCATGTCTCCACATGGAGAGCTAGAGCTGACAGAGGGAGCTCAACCTGCTCTTCCCAGATAAAAACCACTGACCTGTTGGTCTTCAGTCCTGCTGGCACAAGGGTTTAACCCAGGGGTCCTCAAACTGCAGCCCGGGGGGGGGGGGGGCAAAACGGCCCACCGGGGCATTTATCCGACCCACCGCATCCCTAGGCTTTCTCCCGGCATGCTCCCTGCTCCGGCTGTTTTCCCCATTCATGTGCAAACGCCGGGAGAAGGATGCTCTTCCTCACACTATCTCCATCCTTCCTGGGCTTAGCTGAGGCCCAGCGGAACGTTGCGCCACGCCATTCCTGGAGGCTGAAGATTTAAGCCAGAGGCGATCTTGTTGGAAGGCTCGCTGGAAAGGGCGGGTGCGGGCACACTCGCCAGCTGTGGAGCTCAGCACAGGTCTCCGCAGCCAGCGCTGGCCTATGCAGCCTTGGAAGTCAGGCAGGGAGACCGCAGCAAGCGGAGGTCCTCCTCCACTGCCTCAGATGCGTCCTCCGCTCGCTGCTTACACCAGCTCAGGTCTCTGCAGCCCAGCACAGGCCCGCCCTTCCAGTGAGGCTTCCAGAGAGATCGCCTCTGGCCTTGGTCTTCAGCCTCCAGGTGCGGTGCAGCCCAGGAAGGAAGGAGATAGTGTGAGGAAGAGCATCCTTCTCCCAGCATTTGCATGTGAATGGAGAAAAGGGCCGGTGTAGGGAGCACGCTCCCTGTACTGGCCCTGGATGCGTGCTCCAGGCCCAGGAGGTACTATACTTTGTGCTTTTGCTGCATGAAGACAGAAGGGGGTTCTATGAAGGGGGTTGGACTAGATGGCCTTTAGAGCTTAAGCGGCTGAGGGGGAAAAGGAAGGGACTTGAGGCTGTTAGGAATGGTGGGAGTTGAAGTCCAAAACACCTGGAGGATCCATGCCTGGTCTACCTGCTGCTTTGTGGCAAGTCAGTGATAAAGAACCACCCAAACTAGGGGGAATCCAAAGGCCGTATGCCCACCAAGGAGAAAGCAATCAAAGGCATACAATTTGATATCATTTATAACTTCCTGTCACAACAGTTAGGCATGTGATTACATCCCAAAGGAAATTCACAGAGGGGATGCTTGATCCATCACCGAACAGGCAGTTGCTTCTCCACTGCTTCCAAACACACACAAGTAGGTATCCAGTCTATAGAAAATGCAGTGACAAAAAGTCCAGAATATATTCCCTGTTTCTTCCAAGTCTTTGGGCTTAAGTTAGGGTCTCTTCGTGCCGGATGTACTCCCCAATGTCCGCTTGGTGGAAGACTACGATAGCCATGGGGTCCATCCTGCGGCACTCCTGAGTGGACTTGGCCGCCACACCGAAACCCTGCAGAAGGAAGATCCAAAAACAGATGAGGGAGCTCAGTTAAGACACTGCTTTTGAAAAGTGGCCTTAAAAGCCTCCCCAGGGCTTTGAGCTGGTCACTCACCAGCGGGACGTCAGCCATGGAGTAAACCACCACTCCTTGGTACTGGGATGTGCTCTCTGTGATGCGCCCCAAGCCGGATTTCAGGACGTGGTTCCCGTAGAGGAAGGACTGCTCCGCACTGGGCTTCACCCAGACCTTGTACTGTGGGAGGAAGAAAATAAAGACACCTAGGAAATTGTGCAGGCCAAGGAATAAGTCATGTGAAGGTGCTGAGGATATAGAACAGGCATGGGCCAACTTTGGTCCTCCCTCCAGGTGTTTTGGACCAGTAGGCTGTTAGGAATTGTGGGAGTTGAAGTCCAAAACATCTGGAGGGCTGAATTTTGCCTATGCCTGATATAGACCTGCAGACCTGCTCTTCTAAGGGCAAGGGTTATGAAAAGTGTGTCACCTATTAAAATCTATCTTGTGACATTTGCATTGTCACCAATCAAGAAGGCCCCCATAAAAGCATCATTACAGAGATTAATTCTGGGTGTTTTTTTTTGCCTCAGATAATAATAAAGATAATAACAATAATAATACTTTATTTATACCCTGCCACCATCTCCCCAAGGGAACTCGGGGCGGCTTACATGAGGCTGAGCCCAACAATAGAGCAATGCAAATAAACAACAATAAAATATAAAAATAAAATACAAGGAATAATATAAATAAGCATATCAAACAATGCAAAATCACAATAATTTGAACACTGAAAATAAATCAGTGAGCAGGGCCAGTGGCAAGGATTAAAAGTTTAAAACACTGGATGAGAAGGCAATGAAATGTGTCTGGACAGGGGATCAGAGGGACGAAAATAGGGTTTAATTGCACTAGTAGGAAGAAAATAAAGTGCTTTTATGCAGGATTTGGTCTGGTCAGGGGTTATCGTTCAGTTAATCATTCCAGACGACATTCTATTAAGATTAAATCCAATACCATGTACATTTCTTTAATTGGCACAGAGGTTCACCTTCGTAACAGCAAAACCATCCAGAAAGAGATAATATATCCCTCTCTGCATTTCCATCCTATTCTCCAACCGCAGGCCCTAATGTCAGGGAAATCGTACACGCTGGGAGCCCAACAAACTACTTTCCCTCCTACTTGCAAAGCAGAGCCCAACTAGAAAGAGGAGTGAGGAGAAGAGAATGCACTCATCCAGGGGCCCCTTTACCTTTGCATAAGGGGCCAGGTAATCCAGGGCAGTGATGTGGAGGCGGAACTTCTGCGTCTTGGTAAACTTCCCAAAGCAAGTGCCCAAGGAGACCAGGTTCTGGCGGGGAATATTTGTAGCCAGCTTCAAGATCCTCTCACTAAGGAATGACAATACAGATTGTGAAAAGGTTGGAAGCAAATTGTAAGGGTAACTTTGCTGACACGTTTTTATGACCTGAGGAATCTGCGCCCTACACCACTGGAGAAATTACACTGTTTAGCCGGTATTGCACCACCTGACATCCACTGGGAAGTAGCAGCCAATAGTGAAAGGACCAAGGCAGTGACATCTCCAGCCCATCCCCTGTTTGGGTATCAGCCAGAAAGTCAACGACTTAAATCAAGAAATAGTTTTCTAAGATCTACAGAGACACTCGCTGGAACACCTCAGCAAACGAGAGTCCAAAAGTGGCAGGCTCAAACCCAGAACCTCAACCAATGGCTGATACCAAATGAGAGACTCCCCCCTGGGCACACAGAAAACTGGGCAACTTGGAAGGCGCTGAACAGACTGCGCTCTGGCACCACGAGATGCAGAGCCAATCTTAAGAAATGGGGCCACAAAGTGGAATCCACGACATGCGAGTGTGGAGAAGAGCAAACCACTGACCACCTGCTGCAATGCAACCTGAGCCCTGCCACATGCACAATGGAGGACCTCCTTGCAGCAACACCAGAGGCACTCCAAGTGGCCAGCTACTGGTCAAAGGACATTTAATAGAATACCAAGTCTGAAAACTTTGTGCTTTGTTTGTCTGTTTTTTAATGCAATACAACTGTTTTGGTTCGCTCCTGACATGATAAATAAATAACCTGAGGAGTCTTGGGGTGTATCTACAGCAGGCACGGGCCAACTTGGGCCCTCCGGGTGTTTTGGACTTCAACTTCCACAATTCCTAACAGCTGGTAAGCTGTTAGGGATTGTGGAAGTTGCAGTCCAAAACACCCAGAGGGCCCAAGTTAGCCCATGTCTGCTCTTGAGAGTCAGGGTTTGGCTTCCATGTTGCCTTTCCAACGAGACCTATTATCCACGGGAGTCCCTCCGGGCCTGACCTGAGGTAGTAGACACGGTCCTTGTGGAGGCGGAAGCAGTAGGCCCCATCCGGGCGGTCGATCAGGAGCTGGATGTTCTCCCCGATGCTGGAGAGAGAGAGAAAGGGCCAGAGTCAGGCTTCTTCTATGGGAGAGGAATGGCTTCATGGGGCCCACAGGCTCCAAACATACATCTATAAACGCAATACACACAGAGATATTCCATCCTTGATTCATACTATGCCCTTACTACCAAATTGGTGATCAAATTGGTGATTTTTAACTTTGAATATGTTTGATGGATAACAATATTTAAAATACTCTTTATCTTTCCTTCTGTTTTAAAATTTGCATATTGGTATATATCAAATTGTATGCTAATGCTTTTATGTTAAGCTACTTTGGGTCTCCTTTGTGGGAGAGATAAAGCGAGGTATAAATAAATATATTATATATATATATATATATAGAGCGAGAGAGAGAGTATATACACACACACCACTTTTCTCCCCCACGGGACTCAAAGCAATTTTCAATATATTTACGACAAAAACATATAAAATCCCAGTATAAAAGCAACTGTCACATTCAACTATAAATCAAAACATTAAAACATATTAAATAGATAACATCATCTAGACATTTGAACATGGAATTGAAAACATAATATAAACATTAAAATCACATAATCCAGAAGCCGAAGTCCGAGGCATATAATCTTGTACGTTTCTTGCATTCCTTACTGCCCAAAGGCTTGGTCCCACATCAATGTCATTACTTTCTTTCTGAAGACAAAAAGGGAGGGCACTGATCTAATTTTGGTAGGTAGGGAGCTCCACAGGTGGTGGGCCATCACTGAGAAGGCTCTGTCTCTTGTCCCCACCAGTCACGCTTGCAAAGGAGGCAGGACCAAGACCAGGGCCTCTTAACCTCCTAGATGGTTCATAGAGGGAGATACGTTCGGACAGGTAAACTGGGCCAGAACCATTTAGTGCTTTATAGGCTAAAGCCAGCACTTTAAATTGTGCTCGAAAGCAAATAGGCAGCCTGTGGAGTTGGCGTAATGGGGGAGTTGTATACTCTTTGTACTCCACTCTGGTGAGCAATCTGGCTGCTGCCCGTTGGACCAATTGGAGATTCCGAACAGTCTTCAAAGGCAATCCCATGTAGAGCACGTTGTAGTTGTCTATTCAGGATGTAACCAGAGTGTGGACTACCGTGGCCAAGTCTGACTTTCCAAGGTATGGGCGCACCTGGCCCACAAGTTTTAATTGTGCAAAAGCTCCCCTGGCCACCGCCGAAACCTGGGATTCCAGGCTCAGCTATGAATCCAGGAGAACTCCAACGTTGTGAATCTGAGTCTTCAGGTGAAGTGTAACCCTGTCGAACACCGGCTGTAACCCTATACCCTGTTCAGCCTTATTACTGACCAGGAGAGCATATAATATATGACCAGGAGTGCTTATAATAAATTGTATGCTGATGCTTTTATGTTAAGCCGCTTTGGGTCTCCTTTGGGAGAGAAAAAGCAGGGAATAAATAAATACAATAATCAGGAATGGGCAAACTTGGGCCCTCCAGGTGTTTTGGACTACCAGCTGTTAGGAATTGTGGGAGTTAAAGTCCAAAACTCCTGGAGGGCTCAAGTTTGCCCATTCCTGATAACAACAACAACAACAACAACAACAACCCTTTTTGTTTCAATTAGAAATTTCCAGTAAAACAGCCCAATCCCACCACTGTGGGAAAGTGTGTGTGTATATTGGGGCGGGGGGGGGGGGGGGGGGACAATTCTGCGAGATTTGCCAAGGACTTGGGAGGTCTAGATCCAGGAATGTGGGATCCTTCCACTTTCTATGAGCCTGATGTAAGGTCCTAGTATTCATGAAGACACAGAGATGAATTCTGAATAGTACTCTTGGGAAAGTATAGGGGGGGGAACTATGTCTTCCAGATTCGCAAAGGACTTGGGAAATCTAGATCTAGGAATGTGGGATCCTTCCACTTTCTATGAGCCTGATGTAAGGTCCTAGTATTCATGAAGACACAGAGATGAATTCTGAGTAGTACTCTTGGGAAAGTAGGGGGGAAACTATGTCTCCCAGATTTGCCAAGGACTTGGAATGTCTAGATCCAAGAATGTGGGATCCTTCCACTTTCTATGAGCCTGATGTAAGGTCCTAGTATTCATGAAGACACAGAGATGAATTCTGAAGAGTACTCTTGGGAAAGTAGGGGGGAAACTATGTCTCCCAGATTCGCAAAGGACTTGGAATGTCTAGATCCAAGAATGTGGGATCCTTCCACTTTCTATGAGCCTGATGTAAGGTTCTAGTATTCATGAAGACACAGAGATGAATTCTGAGTAGTACTCTTGGGAAAGTAGGGGGGAAACTATGTCTCCCAGATTTGCCAAGGACTTGGAATGTCTAGATCCAAGAATGTGGGATCCTTCCACTTTCTATGAGCCTGATGTAAGGTCCTAGTATTCATGAAGACACAGAGATGAATTCTGAAGAGTACGCTTGGGAAAGTGGGGGGGGGGGGGACTATGTTTCCCAGATTCGCAAAGGACTTGGAAGGTCTAGATCCAAGAATGTGGGATCCTTCCACTTTCTATGAGCCCGATGTAAGGTTCTAGTATTCATGAAGACACAGAGATGAATTCTGAGTAGTACTCTTGGGAAAGTAGGGGGGAAACTATGTCTCCCAGATTCGCAAAGGACTTGGAATGTCTAGATCCAAGAATGTGGGATCCTTCCACTTTCTATGAGCCTGATGTAATGTCCTAGTATTCATGAAGACACAGAGATGAATTCTGAAGAGTACTCTTGGGAAAGTGGGGGGGGGGGGGAACTATGTCTCCCAGATCCGCCAAGGACTTCGAAGGCCTAGCTGCAGGACTTACTACTTGGAGAGCTTCTCGAAGAGCGCGCGGGTCTCCTCCTCCGTGAGCGGCCGCATCGCCTCGACAAGAGCGCGTGGTTAGAAAACAGTGCGCCGCCGGAAGCGGAAACCAGAGACCGGAAACCGGAGGTGGCTGGAGGCGGCCATTCCCGGAAGTGGCGGCGCTGTTGCTATAGCGACCACTTCCTGCTCCACGTCGCGGCTGTCATGGCGGCGCTGGAGGAACCCTCGGCTGGTGGGCCTTCGGGGCCTTCGGACTTGGAGGAGGCCAGCCTCCTGGCCTGGCTGTTCCGCGGGCGAGGGCAGGCCCCGTCTTCTTCTCCTTCGTCGGGAGAGGAGGCCTACCTGGGGCGGCTGTCCGGGCTGGGCCTGGAGGCGCTGCGGAGGGAGCCCGGGCGCCTGGCCGAGGAGCGGGCCCAGCTTGGCGCCCAGACGCGCGCCCTCGCCTTCGCCCACTACAAGACCTTCATCCGCTCCGCCGAGTGCACCGCCCAGACGCGCAGGGGCTTCGCCGGCACCGAGGCCGGCCTCGACCGCCTCCTCGCCCGCCTCCCGCCCTTCGCCCACAGCTGCCGGTGAGCAGGAACGCCACGGCCCGCCCAGGCCTAGCCCGCCCTTCCTTTCTGCCAGGCAGGACAGGCACAGCCCAAGCCCTCCCCGCAGATCCAGCCTCAATAGTAATAATCTGTAGAAATAAAAATGTAATCTTCGTTTGTGGGATTAATAGAAATCAAAACCACTGAACTGTCTGGCCATGTTCCAGAAGCATTCTCTCCTGATGTTTCACCTGCATCTATGGCAGGCATCCTCAGAGATTGTGAGGTCTGTTGGAAACTAGGAAAATGGGGTTTATATACCTGCTGGCTCAGTGGATTAATTTGCTGAGCTGCTAAACTTGCTAACCAAAAGGTTGCTGATTTGAATCCGGAGAGTGGATTCAAATGTGAGTAAATCAATAGTTTACGCTATGGCAGGAAGGTTACAGCATTCCATGCAGTCATGCTGGCCATATGACCTTGGAGACGTCTACGGACAATGCTGGCTCTTCAGCTTAGAAATGGAGATGAGCACCAACCCCCAGAATCTGACATGACTAGTCTTAATGTCAGGGGAAACATTTACCTTTTATATCTGTGGAATGTCCAGGGTGGGAGAAAGAGCTCTCCTCTGTTTGAGGTAGATGTGAATGTTTCAGCTGACTATCTTGATTAGCATTTAATCCTAGCAGTTTCAAGGTCTGGTTTCTTGCTACCTGGGGGATTCCTTTGTTGGGAGGTGATTAGCTGGCCCTGATTGTTTTTTGTCTGGACTTCCCCAGTTTTTGAGTATTGTTCTTTATTTACTGTTACGATTTTTAGATTTTTTTTAATACTGGTAGCCAAATTTTGTTCATTTTCATGGGGCCATGAGATGATGCTTTGATTGCTTGACCATTGAGGGAAAGACCGCAAGGAGTGTAATGGACAAGGCCTTTGGATGCATGAAATTGTCAATTGTATCATGATAACGATGATTAATTGTTAACTTTATTTATATCCTGCCTTTTTAACCATAGGGACTCAAGGTGGCCAGCAACCACACAATCTAATGACAATTTAAAACAAAGGAAACACAATTTTTATTTTAAAAAAACGAAACAAATAAATATTAGTATGTAAATATAGAGTTAAGATTCAATTAAAATACAATAAACACAATTAAAAATAACATTTAAGAGCCATCATCCTCTCACAATCCCATTCATAACTTCCCCTAAAGGCCTGCTGGCACAGAAATGCAGAATGCACAAGCTATATATCTTGTAACTTTTCAGTAGCTGTCCATTCTGATTAAACTTCCTGTAATTGCCTGGAAACATGTTTTCTAGATCAGGTGGGCATATTTGGAGGTGGCAGAGGCCTGCAGAAGACCCCTCCCCAGCTCTCTTCCCAAGGGAGAGCTTATTGGAGCCAGTGGGGCAGGAGCCAATGCCACCAAGCTGGGGACCTGAAAGTTCAGAGTGGGTTGTCCATCTCTCCTTTTATGGGAGACCTGTGTGTGGACTCACCTCTGGCTCCATTTCTTCTCATTTCCTTTCCTTCTTCCTCCAGGAACTTCATGCGGGAGGCAGAGCAGATTGCGCAAAGCCGCCGGATGAACAACCTGACCCTGAACCGCCACACAGAGATCTTGGAGATCCTGGAGATCCCTCAGCTGATGGACACCTGCGTCCGCAACGGTTACTACGAGGAGGCCCTGGAGCTGGTGGCCTACGTTCGCCGCCTGGAGAAGAAGCACGCCTCCATCCCCGTCATCCAGGTGCTTTAGGAGGAGGAGCCACTCTCTATGGGGAGGGGGGGGGTTTCAAAAGATCCTGCAAGAGAGCACCTTTTGCACTGGTTTCTGCTGTTTGGTCTCTGGCTTGACCCAGTGACCCCGTTAGCCCATCCCAGCTGAGCTCTGACGCTGTTTGATCTCCCAGCAAAGCTCTCATCTCAGGAGTCTTAGGCCCTTTCTACATTTTCCTTGTTTCCCAGGATCTGATCCCAAGTTATCTGCTTTGAACTGGATTATATGGGTCTTCACTGCCATATAATCCAGGTATGCGAATAATCTGGGATCAGATCCTGGGATATAGGGCAGTGTAGAAGGGGCCTCAGTAGACCTCAAGATGAACCTGAGTCAGCAGTGCAATGTGGCAGCTAAAAAAAGTCAATGCCATTCTAGGCTGCATCAAGAGAAGTCTTGTTTCAAGATAGAGGGAAGTTGTAGTCCGACTTTATTCTGCTTTTGGCTGGCTTCACCTGAAATAATCCTGTGTCCAGTTCTCAATTTAAGCAGGATAGGGACAAGCTGGAAAATCCCACAATGGTCGAAAGTGTGGAAACCACGAATCCCTGTAAATAGTGGCTTAGAGAGCTGGAGAAGTTTAACTTGGAGAAAAGGAGATTAAGAGAAAGTGATTTGAGAGGCATGATTAAATATCTGAAAGGATGTCCCATTGGGGAGGAGGGGGCAGTCTTCTTTTCATTGCTCCAGACGCTAAGATGTGGAGCTGTGGATTCAAATTGCAAGAGATTCCACCTAAAAATTAGGAAGAGCTTCCTGACAGTTAGAGCTGTGTGACAGTGGAATCAGCTGCTTCCTGGGAGTCCAGTGGAGTCTCCCTCCTTCTCCGGATGGCCATCTGATTATTATTATTTTTATTTCCAGTATTTATATTCCGCCCTTCTCACCCCGCAGGGGACTCAGGGTGGATCATACTGCACATATACATGGCAAACATTCAGTGCCATAGACACACAACATATATAGACAGACACACAGAGGCTATTTAACTTTTCCGCTTTCATTAGGGTATTCTGGCCAACAGGGAAGCTGTCTCTTCACTGTCCATTTGAGACACTGATGGAGTACTTCCTCATTCTTTGCTTGTTTGCTTGCTGGAGATTTTTATGGCGTCGTAAATTAGTTAAATCAGCGTCCCTGCATACTTGACAGATGCAACTGTTTTTCGAGCTACAAAAGTCGACAGCAATCTACACAGAATGGTAGGAAGCTCACTCCAACCCAGGCTGGCTTCGAACTCATGACCTTTCGGTCAGTAGTGATCTTAATGCAACTGACTCCTAGCCAGCTGCACCACAGTCCGTTATCTGATGGTAAGGTTTGGATGGTGTCTTCCTGCTTGGCAGAATGGGGTTGGCCTGGATGGCCTTTAGAGGTTCTTTCCAGCTATAGGATTCTAAACAGGCCTGCCAGCCCTTGATCTGGATACATATGGAGGGCTTCATGGGTCTCCTCCTCCTTCTTGGCAGGGTATTGTGGCCGAGGTGCGCCAGTCCTCCCAGCTGATGCTGACCCAGCTGATCCAGCAGCTGCGTACCAACCTCCCACTGCCTGCCTGCCTTCGTGTCATTGGTTACCTGCGCTGCATGGATGTCTTCACGGAGGCGGAACTGCGCGTCACCTTCCTTCAGGCTCGAGATGCTTGGCTACGCTCCGTCCTGGCTGCCATCCCTGAGGAGGACCCTTATGTCCACGTGACCAAGACCATAGAGGCCTGTCGCGTTCACCTCTTCGATGTGGTCACCCAGTACCGGGCTATCTTTGCCGACGAGGAGCCGCTGGTCCCGGTCCCCGGGCAGCAGGAGGCCTTGGGCGAGGGGGCCCTCTTCCACGGCTGGGTCCTGCAGAAGGTTTCTCAGTTCCTTCTGCTACTGGAGCACGATCTGCAGCGGGGAGCCGGCGGCCGGCTGGACTCCTTGCTGGGGCAGTGCATGTACTTTGGCCTCTCCTTCAGCCGTGTGGGGGCTGACTTCCGGGGCCAGCTGGTCCCCATCTTCCAGCGAGCGGCACTCCTTGCCTTCCAGAAGGCTGCACAAGAAGCTGCCAGCAGGTTCCAAGAGGAGATGGACTGCTACACGCTGGTTTCGGTTCCGACTGCCCTGGGCAGCACCCTCCCTGCCCCTCCTATGGGGCAGGCTGCCCAGCCAGGGACCCTTCAGCCCCCCATGGGACTCCTGGACTTCCCGCCCCTGGCCTGCTTCCTTAACAGTATCCTGGCCGCTTTCAACGACCTGCGCCTCTGCTGTCCTGTGGCCCTGGCTCCGGAGGTGGCTTCAGCCGTGGAGGAAGTGCTTCTCCAGGTTGGGGCCCCTCTCCTTCCTGTTTTGTTTTGGCCTTTGCTTCACACTCTTTAATCATATGCACTTTGAGATAAGTGGGGAGGAAGGAAATCCATACATTATCTGCAGTAAAGGGCAAAGGGGAAAGTTCTGATGTTGCAGGTAAAAAGCCATTTAATAATAATAATAATAATAATAATAATAATAATAATCTTTATTTATACCCCGCCACCATCTACCCAAAGGGACTTGGGGTGGCTTATATGAGGCCAAGTCCAGCAATACAACAATGCAAATATACACATAAGAATACAGCAATAAAATATAAGGAAATAAAATAACATAAAAGGAAATAAAATAAAAATTTAAGATGTTTCACTGATAAAGTGCAAAACGATCTCAACAGCTGGCTTTGAGCATGACATTATTAGGAAGGGCTATTTGGATTTCCCCACTGGCCTTTTCCTCAAACAGGCTAATTTGTCTTATATTATTGTTGTCTAACATTCTCTGTATGCAAGGTATCGTCTTTCAAACTCTAGATAGATGAGTTTGATGCTCTCAGCTAAAGTGTGGAGATGTACTCTGCTCATGCTGATTTTCCTTTGTGGAAGGTCTTTTGAGTATCCTTCTCTTTGCAAACTACTCTCTGCATGTGGTCCCAAGGGATCTAAATAATATTGCTTCTGTTGGCCCCCAAAGGCTCTCTAGCAGGGTGGAAAGCATCTTTGCCATGTTTTGGGGTCTCTTTTGTAAATGTAATTATAATTTTATTTATTTATTGTATTTTAATTGAAACTTAAGTTTATATCCACTCACAGATATTTAATTATTTTTGTATTTGCCTTATTTTAAAATTTTATTATGTTTTGTTACATGATTGCTAGTCACTTTATTTATTTATATTTATTTATATATTTTTTAATTTTATATTTATTTATTTACTGAATTTATATGCCGTTTTTCTCACCCTAGAGGGGACTCAAAACAGTTTCCAACATAATAGTGGCAAAATTCAATGTCGTACATACTGTACATGTGAAAACCAAAACATAATTTCTAGACAATGACATATACTATAATTTAAGAACCTTAACCATATTACACATATCAGCATAAAACAACATATATATTAATATATCATTAAAACGTATCAATTAAAACAGTTATTTGAAATCACACAATTTATTTATTTGGAGGGGGTAATTTATTTTAATTGTATTTTAACTTTATATCCACTCACAGATATTTAATTATTTTTGTATTTGGTTTTTTAAAATGTTTTTATTATGTTGTATTACATGAGTGTTAGCCGCCTTGAAACCCTATGAAGAGAAAGACAGGATAGAATGAAAGATTATGATAATATGATAATTATGATGATGATTTTTGTTTTAAGCCTAGGAGGGTCCGTTTTAAAAAGTGTTTAAGAGGGAAGTTTCTAAGTGGGAATGTCATGCCTCAGTGATGCCCACCCTTTGGCCCTCCAGGCAATTTGGACTTCAACTCCCAGAAGCTCTGGCTGGCAGAGGCTCATGGGAGAGGAAGTCCCACACTCTTGGAGAGTATGGGAATTGCTTGCTGAGTCTCAGAAATTTGCCCACTGCAATCCGTGGCTCTTCCTTCCCTTGCTTTTTTGTGCCTTCAACTCAGGGAGTGGCACACGCCATCCCTTGGGGCTTTTCACTCTCTGGGAGAACGATGACTTGAGGGAACCGTGCTCTTTCCCTAGGTGTTCATCCTGTGGTCATTCCAGTCTCTCTGTGTGTGTGTCTCCTCCTTGCAGGTGGCCAAGGTCATCCTGGTCTTCCATCGGGCCGAGTCCATGGCCTTCAGCAGCCGAGAGCAAGAGCTTTTCGTTCAGTTCTGCACCGCATTCCTGGAAGACTTGGTGCCCTACCTCAACCGCTGCCTCCTGCTCCTCTTCCCGGCCGCACAACTGGCACAGACACTGGGTAGGGCTCTCTTTGCTTCCTAGAATCATAGAGCTGACCCCCAAAGATTGTCCAGTCCAACCCCATTCTGCTCAGCAGGGAAAGCATAATCAAACCCTTCCTAACAGATGACCATCCAGCCTCTGCTTAAAAGCCTCCAAAGATGGAGCCTCTTGGGAGTCACGTTGAATGGACTGTTGGAGGAGGGCATGGCATAGCCCAGCCTTAGTGTCCTGTGGCTCCACAGAGGGTCCACCTGTCCAGCTTGGAGACTCATGAACCATGGGTTGGCAAAAGGGAATGGCCCCCATGGGACACCCTTGTTGGGCGAGTGGGCTTATTAACAAAAGACCCTACCCATAAATGTACAGCAGAGTAACTTAGCAGCAGCATCGTGACCCAGCACCTGTAACCCAAAGTGATAAAAGGAACAAAAACATACAGACCAGTGTGATCTGTTCCATAGGAGGCTTTTCTTTGTAGTAAAATAAGAGAGTTGCACTATTTACAACAACAAGGTTTCCATAACACTAATAAATAAATACACAGTAGCTTTACACAGCAGCCTTCACACTGGAGCTTTGGAGGGATTCATAGGCCCCTTCCATCTCCTTGAATTGCTTTGCACAGAACTGGATGCAGTCTTATTTTAGGTAAAGGGGCCTGACCAAAGCAGAAGAAGAGAGTGGAACTCTGACCCCACGCAGTCCTCAAGATGAATACTCTCTGCATAACTTAATGCTCTCTCTCTCTTGCTGTCTTCCTTCCTTCTTCTCTCCCAGGGGTTCCTCCTACTCAGCTCCACAAATACGGGAGCCTGGGCTGCGTAGACGAGCATCCAGTCCGGGAGCTGCTTTCCTCCATCCTTCCTGAAAAAGAAACTGCCCTTCCTTTGGTTGCAGAGGAGGAGGAAGCCCCTGCTCAAGAGAGCCCTCCTCTTCCCCTGGAACTCTTGGACTCAAAACCAGATGCAGAGCCCACGGTCACTGCTCTTCCGGAGGCAGAAGAGAGGGGCACTCCTTCTGGGGACGCTGCGTAGCCGAGGGTCTCCTCACTGCAGTTCATTATTACAGTCTAAACACTTGGCCAGAGACATAGGCAGTTTGGTCTTGGGCTTCTTCGCAAGGAGAGGAGGGGTCTGGCTTCACGCTGCTCTGACAGGAAGCGAGGCCTGGGAATGGGAAAGAAGGAGGGTCTGAACAATCAACAGAGCTTGTGCGTGGGTTCTTGAAGCGACGAAAGAGGAGCCCCGTCTCAGAGTGTTCATGGGCCCTCATTCTGCCTCACCTTGATTTAAAGAGTAAAAATGCAATTAAATCCTAAAATAAATGAATATATTATTTAAAGAGTGCAGTTGCCATGGAGATAAAAGCCCTCTTTTATAGTTAATGTATTTATGAGGGCTTTCACAACTGGAATCACTGGGGTGTTGTGTGGTTTCCAGGCTGTGTGGCCAACATGTTCTAGCAGCATTTTCTCCTGACATTTTTCCTGCAACTGTGGCTGGCATCTTCAGAGGACCTGATGATGGTCAAGCAAGTGGAGTATATATACATGTGGAATTATGTTCATGGTGGGAAAAAGAACCAATGTCTGCTAACCAAGTGTGAAGGGTGCCGTTTGTGTATGTTGAGTGAGTAGTTGAGAAAATTCCATAGTCAATAGTAATGGCATCTGCCTAAAAGTAGCCTGGCCTTGGTTTCCTTAGAGCAGGGGTCCTCAAACTTATTAGTATTTCAATGGGAAAATACATCTGCTTTTGGCTGATGGGATAGAATTGTTGTTGTTATTGTTTGCTTTCAAGTCATTTCAGACTTAGGTTGACCCTGAGCGAGGGCCAAGTAAATTACCTTGGAGGGCCGTATCCGGCCCCTGGGCCTTAGTTTGAGGACCCCTGCCTTCGAGTGTTTATTGCCTGGAGCCATCCTTTGCCTGGGTTGTGTTCACTGGCCCTTGATTGCTTGCTGCTTGGAAGCCTCCTGTGTCTGGGTGGTGTTCTTTATTTACTGCTCTGATTTTAGACTTTTTAAATATTGGTAGCCAAATTTTGTTCATTTTCATGGTTTTGTCCTTTCTGTTGAAATTGTCCATGTGCTTGTGGATTTCAATGTCTTCTCTGTGTAATCTGACAAAGCGGTTGTGAGAGCGGTCCAGAATTTCTGTGTTCTCAAATAATATTCTGTACCAGCCACAAATGCAGGCGAAACGTCCGGAGGAAAAAATGCTGCTAGAACACAACACTCCACCTCTTGCATATGATTCAGGTAATACGTTGTAGAAGTGAACTGCTTCATACAAGGGTCACTCCACACACAGTGATATTTACTCCTATCCCATTTGCGTAGCAACAAGTCTTATAGAGGTCTGTGGGTCAGATTTGGACTTCCTTAATAACATCCTGGAAATTCAGAGGCTGGTCTTGGCCAAGTTTGGCAAGACTCTGGTTACACTTTGCCAAATGTCTTCTATGGGAGGGACTCGAAGGCTCAAAGTTGTGGCAGCATATGTGATGTTTCAAGCCTAATATAAACACTGCAATATTGTTGTAGTCTGGGGACCATCACTTTCTGGGAAAGAAAAACAATTGCAGGTCAAGGGCAAAAAGAGGCACTGGCCTTTGGCACAAAAAGAAAAAGGTGTAAGAAACACTGTTGCATGATGGATTTCTGTAAGAGTTTTCTCATGACTCTGGAACATTTAAGAACTAAAGTTTAAAAATTAATTTAAAACTACCTGGATGAGCAGGAAATGCCATTTGGAATGGTTTGGCCAGACTTGACGCCTTTCTTTACAGCCACATTATCCAGAATATCAAGGCAGATAATCCCAGTGTGGAACACATCTCACCATGCTAAAGCAGTGGATGTGGCTCTTAGTAAGACATGCCACATTATCACAGGATGTGTACACCCTACACCACTGGAAAAAATACACTCTTTAGCCAGTATTGCACCACCTGACATTTGTCAGGAAGTAGTAGCCAGCAATGAAAGGACCAAGGCATTGGCATCTCTGGCCCATCTTCTGTTTGGATATCAGCCAGCATGCCAACACCTTAAATATAAAAACAGCTTCCTAAGATCTACAGAGGTACTCGTAGAAACACCTCAGCAAGTGAGAGTCCAACAGTGGCAGACTAAATCCAGAATCTCAGTCAGTGGCTGATACCAGATGAGCACAGAAGAGTGAGTGACTTGGAAGGCGGAGAACAGGCTGCGCTCTGGCACCAGGAGATGCAGAGCCAACCTTAAGAAATGGGGCTACAAAAAGGAGCCACCTACATACTCACCGCGAAGACACTGCATTTGGAGGACCATCATCCTCGGACTACGAGGGATTGCCTAAGTAAGTAAGTTATAGCAAATATAAAGTTCTGGCTGGCCTCAGCCCTATAGGGAAAAGGCTGTTCTCCTTTTGAGTTTCCATTCAGCCCTTTTCTCACAGCTGAATAAAATCCCACATTATCTACTTTGAACCGAGTTATCTGAGTCCACACTGCCATATACTCCAAGTATATGGCAGTGTGGACTCAGATAACTCGGTTCAAAGCAGATATTGTGGGATTTTCTGCCTTGATATTCTGGGTTCTATGACTGTGGAAGGGCCTGGAGGAGGAGGAGGAGAAGCTGACTGCCTCTGCAAGGCATTTCTATGGGTTGCAAGCCAGAAATCTCCCGAAAGTTGTCCACACACATAAACCCTTTCTTCTATGACACCGTTTCTCAACCTGGGGGTCACGAAGGGGTGTCAGAGAGGTCTCCAAAGACAATAAGAGAACACAGTATTTTCTACTGGTCATGGGGGTTCTGTGTGGGAAGTTTGGCCGATTCTATTGGTGGTGGGGTTCAGAATGCTCTCTGACGGTAGGTAAACTATAAATCCCAGCAACTAATGCCAATGTCAAGCTCTATTTCCCCCAATCTCCACCAGTGTTCACATTTGGGATATGGAGCATCCCCGTGCCAAGTTTGGTTCGGATCCATCATTGTTTAAGTTCGCAGTGCTCTCTGGAAGTAAGAGAACTACAACTCCCAAACTCAAGGCCAATGTCCACCAGAGTATTTTCTGTTGGTTATAGGGGTTCTGCATGGGAAGTTAGGCCCAATTCTATCATCAGTTGGATTTAGACTGCTCTTGATTGTAGGTGAACTATAAATCCCAGCAACTACAACTCCCAAATATCAAGGTCAATTTTCCCTAAACTCCAGCAGTGTTCACATTTGGGCATATTGAGTATCTGTGCCAAGTTTGGTCCAGATCCATCATTGTTTGAGTCCACAGTGCTCTCTGGGTGTAGAACTACAACTCCCAAACTCAAGGCCAATGCCCACCAAACCCTTCCAGTATTTTCTGTTGCTCAGCAGAGTTCTGTGTGCCAAACTTGGTTCAATTCCATTATTGGTGGAGTTCAGAATGCTCTTTGATTGCAGGTGAACTATAAACTGCAGCAACTACAACTCGCACATGACAAAATCAATCCCTATTAACCCAACCAATAGTCATATTTGGGCATATTTGTGCACAATTTGGTCCAGTGAATTAAAATACCTCCTGCATCTCAGATATTTACATGTAGCAACGAAAATAATGTTATGGTTGGGGGTCACCACAACATGGGGAAGGATGAGAATCACTGCTGTATGAAGATGCCTCCTTCAGCCGCTAGAGGGAGCGCGTTTTCCCCATTGAGAACCGCAGAGGACTTCATTTCCCGGCATCCTCCGCTTCTTCTGGGTTGGTCACGTGGCGTCTTGCAGGTGGCATTGAAAGCGTGGCAGCAGGTAGGAAGGAAAAGAACGCGGTGGGGCGGCTCCCCCCCCCTCCCCCCCAAGCCTGGTTCTCCTGCTCCTTCTCCCCATAGAGATCCCTGGCTTCCAAGTCTTGGGCCATTTGGGTGAACTAGGCCTCTTCCAATGGGCACCAGGAAAAGGTGTGCAAATGCCCCCCATTGGCACAAACCTGTGAGCAACAACATGCAGCCTTTGCAGTGGACTCTGCAGGAAATGCTTGAGCTAGACTCC